CTTACATTTTTTCCAAGTTCAGGCAGCCCTTAGTTAGGTAACTGTAAATGCATTTATTGCTGTTAGAAATGAGATATTCTTATGCTACAAAGAAAGCACACAATGTAAAAAGGGCTGATTTGATAAAACCCCCTGCCCAGGTGAGGAATGAAGGGCTTCATTCACAGAAGCCAAACAAATCTGCCCTAGACTTGTCTTATGTTTTTATCCAGTTGAACCTTACCTTTAAATACCAGTGCAGAAATTCAGCGTTAATGCAGAGAGAATGACATTATTGCTCTGGTAATCTTGGTCTTCTTACCTTATTTGTTATCTTTTCAAGTGTTTTGCCATAAAAATGCATAAGACTGCTTCTCATAAGAAATATCTCTCAGCATATTTGTGCTATATCGGGATTGTGTATATCCATAATAGAGATTAGATTGCCAGTCTGTAGATCTTAAGACATAGAATAAATGTTAGGAAGCAGATATTTGGTGTAGCATTCATCTGAAACGTGTTCTTCAGTGCCCATTTGTCAAAAGGGACAGTGTTTCTAAATTAAAGATGTGGAAGGCCTCTGAAAAGTTGGGTCCTGGTTTGTGATTTTGTTTGTATTCAGCCTTTGCTTTGATGGCCACATTGACAATAAGCAAATGAGAAGGCCTTAGCACTGAGGAACACATAAATAAAGGCTACAAAGAAAGGGCATGAGAGAAGCTTTGAAGTGGCATCTAGTTTTAATTTGAGTGGGAGAAAACCAGATGTGTCTTCGGGAGCTCTGGCCCAGCTCTTTTTTTAAGAGGACGGGGAACTCAACCAAATCACTCAATGGAGAGACCCCAAAACCAACTGTTTCCACCCTGGCACTTTGATCTTTGTTGCCACTTTTGAGTGAACCGCTCTGTCCCAAAGGAAAAATGGTCTAACCCTTCATTTTAACTGTGTGCATCATCCTGTACAACTGGATTGCATATCTCCTTTTTCCATTCCAACTGCAGCTATCTGAGTTAATTTCCTATGCAATATACTGACAGAGATGCTAGTGACTTCAAAATAGCAAAACTGATCAGAATTTTGATTTGCCTGACTTGTGTAACGTGTGTTAGAGCAAAACCTTGGTACACAGCGTTTTGGGTCAGCAGTCCTGAAAACAAAGATAGAAAACTTAAGAAACCTGCTTGTGTAGGACTTCTGTTGGCAAGCTCTGCACCTGGCATGATGTGCTTAGTTTCTGCTTACAAATAGAATAATATCTCTGAATGATATATTTGAGGGCTTTTTTTTTTTTCCAGTAGTCCTTGGATCACATTAGACCAACAAAAAGATTGCTGTTGACTGTACATATAGTGAGATTAAAACTACACTATGAAGTTTTTTTTTTAACATGTTCTATAAAATAAGTAAAATAATCTTGTCTTCTGAAGAGATTAAGAATTTCAAAGGATGGAAAGGAGAAAGAGAGTAGATAAGAAGGCAAATAACATGAGTCAAATTCAAGGTTACTGTCGTTACTAACCTGAACAGGATAAATCCTTTTGCTCTGGGGGCTTGTCCATGTGCTGCCTTATAAATGATGCCAAAGCTTGCAGCTTTCAGAGGAAAGGATTGGAAAGGAGAAGTTTGAAAATTCTGAAGAAATAGGGTCAAGTTAAGGTGGTGCTGTTTGGCTGATACCAGTTGTCTTGAACTGAGATATCTAAAAATGGACCTTCTACCCAGATGAGGATATTTTGTTGTGGTTAGGGTCATGTGTTTTCACATTTATTGTTGGTTTGGTTTAGTTTGAGTTTGATTCTTTCAGGACAGGTATAAAACCACTACTGGAATCAAGAACAGAATGTTACCTTGATACATGCAAGAATTATGCTTTATTTTGCATTGAATTGCTTCTCTCATGTCATCTGAATGTAGGTTTCTGGAGCCCAGCACATTCCAGAAGCAAATATTAATGAGGAATAGTTTGTACCACATACCAAGTCTGGAGAATATGCTCATGAGTAGTAATGAAATACACAGGGATTTTTTTCCTGTCTTGGTCTCTAGTGTTTAACATGCCATTAATACAGATCCTAAAATAGTAAGAGTCAGGGCCTTTAGGAAGAAAAGTGCAAAAGATTTTGTGTGTGGTTATCAAAACATGGGAAAAACTGGAAGAAGGAAGAGGGTAACACACTGGCTTCTGGCTGGCTGTGTCAAAATGATTCACTCTCTTTCCACATAATAAAGTACAGACACAAAATATGCAGGGTTGAAACTCTGAATTACACATTGGACTTGGTATAAAGTTGAAATTGGAGTTCTCAGTAAAAAATTAAGATTTTTGCTTTATTCCCCCTGAGATTTATTGGTGATGTATAGATTATTGTAGTATAATAAATGAAATTCTGTGTGTGTGTAGCCAGAAGTTTATGGATAACTGAACAACTTTCTAGATTGGATGTTGAAGATTGTGAATATCAAACTGTAGCTTGGTTTGAATAAAACTCTCTCTGCTCTGCAAGATAAGAGTTTGAAACAAATGCCGTAACCTACTGTTATGTGGGAGGGTTATGACTAAAATTATCAAGCTTCACTACACCTTGCACAAGTATTTTGAGGCACCTTGTCAAAATACCAGGTAAATTACTGCCAAAAATGCACTAATTAGATGAGTAATGAAAAAGTTTTCAAATGGAAGTATTTAAAATCTGTTCATCCAGTTAGACGTATTTACAGTCATCACTCTTAATTGCATAAGCTGAATTTCCAGTGTTCACCCATGAGATTTCACTCGTGTCTAAACTGAAGGGAAAGAAAAGCCTGTTTTCTCTTTTTCTTGAAGGGAAAAAAAAGCCTCTTTTCCCTTTGCTTTACCCTTTTAGAAGGAAGTGACTTTTCAGGTCTAGAAGGAAAGTGCTGTGCAGTCCTCAGGAGCATGGTTCATTTCTGTGATATGTTTTCTGCCTTTTTTATGTAATCTTAACTACCTCCTGTATATCTCAACATCTGTATGACTAGTGAGGAAAACTGTGTTTTGTTCAAGGATTTTTTTTTTTTTTTTTTTTGGAATGCTAACTTTTGATGTATGACTCAAACCTGGAGCAAAATATTCTTGTGTATTGCTTCCTCTGCTCTCCTTTCCCACTTTTCTGCCCTCTCCCTTCTTTCCCCCCTGGTTTTGTGTGGTTTCCCCACTGCAGTCCTTGACTGTGGCCTCTTTCTATATCATCAGTGAGGTGCACTCACACAAAATATGGGATGTGCCTCCTCCTGGGTGGACCTGAGCATTTCTGGAGCAGAAGTCCTGATCCACTTATTTCCACATATATGGATGTCAGCTGACAGCCACCTGTCAAGGTTTAAAGCAAATAAGAAGGCGTCGTTTTGGCAAAGCGTTTTGGCCAGCTCATCTCCATTGTGTGTTTTTGGGGTTTTTTTTCACTTTGATGTGAGAGTTTCTGAAATGTCAGAGAGGGGGAAAAAAGGGTTTTGAAAGGGAAGAAAGAGAGGACTAACGAAAGAAAAAAAATAACCTTTAACCAAAGAAACCTGGATGCTTCCTCAGGAATGTTTTGAATCCGAATTCTCTTTAATCTGGGCAGATTTCCTTGAGAATCATTATATGAGGAGGGCAATTAGGAGTGGCACAGACTGTCCTCGGAATGTCTCTTTCCTGTCTCCTTTTAATGGATAGATTTCTGCAACAACAGCTCCTTCAGAGGCTAAACTTAGAAATCTGCTGAACTTAGAGCAAAGATAAAGTACTGGCGATTGCCAGCTCATCAGTTGAGCTCTGTGACATAGTCTCTCCATTTAGGCATCAGTAGGTTTCTAAAAAATCCCAGTAGAGGAAGTGCAAAGAATTGGGTTGTCTTTCTAATCTTGCACTCTAGGTTTATGAAGCCTTTTCCATTAATTCACCATGAAAGTAGTGTGGGGTTTTTATTAGGCTTTTGTTTGGAGGCAACTTTTAATCAATAATTCTGTGTAATTGCAAATCGTTATGATCGAAAGAATTTGGTTTTAAAAGTGGAGAATATTAAGATAGTCTTGTTAAATTCAGGTTGTTAAATATACGAAGCAGGAAGGGCAGAAAGTGTGACATGCCTGAGATGAGCTGTGCTTCATAGTTTTGGAAGTTCAGATGGTTAAATGTATAGGCAGTAAAATAAGTAGGTGTTAAGGATGAAGTGACTTTGGAGATCAACTTAGTCCAACACCTCTGCTAAAGCAGGGTCGCCTAGAGCAGGAGACACAGGGTGGTGGCCAGGCGGGTTTTGAATCTCTCCAGAGACTCAAGCCCAGACATTTTTTCCCTGTGTGGCAGCAGCTGATAGTTCTTGGATTTGGGCAATTTCTTCCAAACTGTGGGAGCTGCTGTGATCTACCAGGATTTGCAGTTCAGGGGAATGAGATAATGCAAAGGGAGCATTTTTGTGCTGTTGGGGATGAAGCTCAGCCTCCCAGCCACTGGAAGACTCTTCTGAGCAGCACCCTGAATTAAAAAGTCATGTCTGCAAAAGTAAAACTGTGATTGCAACCCCTCACTCTTAGAAATGTTAAACAAGTATCTTCATGTCCTGAGGATGAAGACAATTGCTTTTACATTAGTGTTTTATCCTTACAGAGCAGTTATAGGTCTCATGTTAAACTTGTCCCTGTCCAGCTGAAACCCTGTTAATGAATACATAAAGCCATAGCTGAAGTGAATTATCTATGTTCATATATGAACTAAAAACACTTTTACTGTTTTTAAAATTCAGAGTGGTTACCAACCCAGTGCCTATGTCTGGCAGTGCCAATGAAGATTCTTCAGTATTAGTTCTCATCCTTTTTCGTTGTGTGTGTGTTTTTATATATATATTTATGTATGTATATATATATGCATTTGTGAGTGTGTACACTTATGTTGTTATGTGCCATAATGAAATATTCTTAATTGTTTTCACTGAACTGCTATATTTGATGTACTGGATTTACATAGTTGAACTGGAAAGTTAAAACTTATTGCCTAATACTTTTCTTTCTCTATTTTACAGTCATAATGAACGAAAAGTAACCTGCAAACATCCAGTGACAGGACAGCCATCACAGGACAACTGTATTTTTGTTGTGAATGAGCAGTAAGTGCCTTCTGTTTCACTCTGTAAAGCACAGATTTTAAAACCCTTTAATAATGAAGTAAGATTCAGCAATTACTAGTGGTAATATTTATTTTCTTCCAAATCATATCAACATGTAGATAGTTTTACTTGTTTAAATGACTTAAAAGCAATGTTAAGTATTTTATACTAACTTTTAAGTTATAAACCATAGCTCAAATTAGTTGTATGATAGAAATGCATCACATTTATGTATGCACTGTATGAATTTCCTCTTGTCACTTGAATTATTCCGTAATTTTAGTAAACAACCTAGATATTATATAACAATCAAATAAACTTCCAGAAAGGGATAAATTTTATATTCTCTTAGGGGCAACCACAAGCTGTTAATCTGTAATGTTTTGCCTGATAGTTTCTCCACAATTGATTATTTCCTTGACCAGTTGGGACACTTTGTGAATCACTGGATAATAACTGGGATTTGCTGTCTTTGCATTAGTTCCTGGGTGTCCTGCTCACCACCATTGCTGCAGCACCTTACTGGTGGCTCCAGTGAAAACCATCAGAACTGGCCAAATTTCACCAATGGGCCTGTTCTCACCCAGGGGGGGCAAAGCCAGAGGGGGCCTTTGGAGAGCATTTCTTCCCATTTCCATCTCACACTCATTCCTGTCTTTTTCCCTCCCACCAACACCTGGCGCTAAGAGAGAAATTCTGGTTTTAAACAACATCTTAAAATTCATCTATAATAGGATAGAGTTTAAAACACAGTGCAGGTAATTCTGCAGTGAAGTGTGAATTGCTTTCAAATTGGAAAAGTAGGGCACAGGCTGTACAAAGCTACATCTAGGGGTGCTTGCTATTAGCAGTCTGCACACACAGCATGTTCCAGTGCTATTACATATTCTATTTTCAGGACTGCTGCAGCAATGTCATCTGAAGAAAAGAAGGAGCGACCAGTAAGCATGATATGTGAAGCAACTAACTATAATCTGACATCAGATTATGCTGCTCATCCAATGAGCCCTGTGGGCAGAGTAAGTCTTTATGTCCAAATAAATTAGAACTCAAATAATTCAGTTATTCCACAGGGTGCTAGACAGTGCTGTCTGATAGTATTCCACTGAAAAAGAGAAAAGAAGCTTCTATATTTTTCAGGGCACTCAACTCCTTCCACGTTTAATTTGGAATCTGAAATGTCTCAAACAAATTGTCACTGTAGCTGTAATTTTTATCAGGTAACTCGGAGATCTTGTGACTTGCACGTGCTTAAATTGACCTTTCTGATGTTTGTGAACAGCAAAAACCTGAGTGACTGATGAAGCATCACTGTTGCAGAAATTGCTCTATCACAAACAATTGCCTGGACGTGTCCAGGTAAAACAGAGAGAGCTGGGATTGTGTGCAAGAAGTAGCTGTGAGAGAGGTGGGAGGTGACCCTGTGCTGAAAAGCAGGTGACGTTGGGCCAGAAACAGAAGTCCTGGCTTCCCAGAAAAATTCCTGCTAAATGTTTAGGGGAATCCTAGGATCACCTTAATTTATGTTTTGCTTCTTCATTCACCCAGTTTCTCAGGAGGTTAAGGTAAATGCCCAGATGTTCTTTCCAACTTTTAGGTTTGTTGGATAAAGCTGATGAGCCTATTGTGTGCATATTTTTTTTTTAATTTTCAGCTTTTTTTGAAAGAGAAGTGCACTTGCTACAAAGTTAAGAAGTGCCTTAAATTTTCTAGGAGACCAAGAAAACGGCTTTGGTCAGTGATGACAGACAAGAGCAGTCATCTCTTCTAGCCAGTAGTTAACAGTTAAACAAGGGGGAAAACCCTGTTCTTTAGTTAGCCATTGAAAATGTTAACCCTGAGAAGTGCTTTTTCAGCAAACTAATCCAGCCTGCAAGGGAAAAAATAAACTTTGGAATGCATTCTAACTGAGCAAATTCCTTAATGTCAGAAACTTGGATTGAAATAATTGACTTACCAAGTGGTAAGAAACATTGCAAGGTTCCTTCAAGTGCATTTTGGAATCTTTTTGTTTTTTTAAATATCTCATGAGACAGGCAGAATCCTTGACCTATGTTAGAAAACTGTTACTTAATGAGAAAAGTGTCTTAATCTGTTAATGGTGCTGGGGGGAAAAATAGAGAGTCACAGATATATTATGAACAGTAAAAAAATCCATCTCAACTTTCATATGATCATGTTTAAGTCCATGCAGGAAAACCAGTGTGAAATACAAAAAACTAGAAAACCCCTGAACAACAGTAAAAAATAAACTCAAAACCAGCTAAGCCCTAAAACAACCAAGCAAGCAAAAAACCCAAGGTAATTTCTTGTTAGAGTCATAACAGTGGTGTGTAGAATGCAGTAATTACATAGCTAGTTCTCTCAAAATTCATTTTCTGGGAAGCAATCTCAGGTTAAATATGCAAAATTAATTACAATTTAGGAGCATGTGTCTTACATGCTTCTCACTTTCAAAAGAGAAGTTGAAAATGCCATTTAGCCATAGTGTTAGAGAACAAAATTAATATTTCTATGGCCCAGTTACTGTGATTTCTTTTACTTTCATTGATTAATGGCACTTTAGTTTCCTGTGAAAATAACGTTTTAAAAAAATAGACTGTTCTGCTTTTCATTCCTCCTGTTCTAGTTGTTTAAATGCACTTAAAATATCAGTATGATTATTGTGGCTGCATGTGTAATTACTGTACATCAGTTTTCGGATGTGTATTTGTCTGAATTAGTGCAAGACCATTTAAAAACTGTTGGTTTTTTGGGAGGTGAATGCTGGGAAAGTAGAACCACAGCTAATATCAATCTGCCTTTTCTGGCAGCTGTTCAAAGATAATGAGTTGAATCGTTTTTAAAGATGACTGCAGATATGGCCCATGGGTTGTACCTGGATACAAAATGGATTTTCTTATTCATGTCTTCAAACAGTAAAGCCTGAAATTCTTAACTTCTGACTATAATACGTAGTTTGTAGTATTGTATATGTAGTATATATATGTAATATATATGTTATACATAATTATATATATAAAATACGTATTATACATATATGTAATATTCTATTGTATTAATAGTAGTATTGTGTATTGTAGCACAATAAAACAGGAATAAAATGTTGGAGAGAGAAGTTACAGAGAATTCATTAGAGAGGAGAAGGATGTCTCGTGTTGTTGCCAAACCAATTTTTTTTGGGTGGTTTTTGTTTTCAGAGATAACTCATGACCACACCTGATATTGGAAAGTAGTGAGGAATGGGAAGAAGTTTCAGGCAGTTAAAGGGTACAGGAGAAAGTTATCCTTGCATTGATGTTAATTGATCCCAGATAGATACAGAACTTGGAGAAATTGCTATTTTCTGTCAGAAAGACTCTCTGGAGTCTGTTGCTGACCAGAGGCCAGTATGAGGTGAGGCAAAAATCAGTTCCTGCCCAGTAAAAGTCTTAATTCTAATCTTCCTTTCCCACTGTTTACATGAGAAAGGCCAAATAACAAATTACACCTCTGTTAAGAGCTGCTTATTTCCTGTTAGCTTGAAGTGTATTTCCAGACATCAAGGCACTAGCACAGACCCCTGGCTGTGAAATCCCACAGGCTTCAGATTGCTACAGCAGTATTTGTTTTCATCTCTCTGTAGAATGAAGAAATTATTTTTGTAGTTGTCTTTTTTTCGATCTTATTTGCCTCCCTGCTGTTAAAATCACTACCTAGACAAACAGGATTGTATGTCATAAATTGCTTTTTAATGTGTAAAGTCAGTCACATCACCAGTCACCCTCCATGGTTCAGATCTGCTGCTTTTCACTGCTGTCCTGATTATCAGCAGAATAAGGTGAACACATTTTTCTCACAGAAAGTGGAGTGTTAGCCCAGGACAGCTGCTCAGGAGCTCCAGGTGACTTCAGTACACCTGGGATGTTTCCCAGTGCTCACAAATATTAATCAGTTTGTTAATAGATAGTTCAGTCCAGCTTTGAATGGCTAGTGTAGGTGTAGCAGACCATTCAGGTCTACTCAGGATCCAGGTTAGCTGGAAATGTCTGATTAACAGAAATTAAAATTATTATTATTAGTTATTAAAATTCCTTAGCAAACAGCACAGGGAACAGGAGGGGTGTGAAGGGCATTCCTGGTGCTCAAAGCTGGATGTCTGCACAGTGTTTTTATGGTTTATATTCAGACCAGCCCAGCAGTGCTCCTTGTGCATCTTATATTTTAGTCCTGCCTAAATGGAATCCAGTTTGCTTTATTATGCAAACCAAAGCATGCTAAGAGTGAATGATGGGGAGATTTGCTTCAAGAGCAACCTCCTGGTCCAAGCTAAAATGCTGAGGCAGAAACCCACTCAGCTCATGGAAAAGTGCAGCATTGGAAGGCACCAAAATTGCCTACAAAAATCCAGAAGGAAGCATCCTATTATTTTGTGGTTTGGAAGATAATGTAAGCCTTGAACACTGGAAACATATTTTTAAACAGAAGTTAAAACTAACAAAGATGCAGATGTTTACTCTCTGAGTTTACATGCAGAAAATTTCCTTATTTGCAAGGTTCTCAATGTATGTTTTTCGAATTTAGATGCAATAAATTTAATGTTAATTAATGACTTTTGTGCTAGTTCTGAAACTGGGAAAGAAGCCTCACATAAACCCTGTGTTTTTCTACCAGCTAAGCAGAGAGAAAAGCCACTTGCAGAGTGATGAATTGTGCAGCCCCAGATGCTGACTGCTCTGTTGTCCAGAGTTCAAAACCCTGCTGGGTGTTTTTTCAGTTTTGGAAAACAGTAAATATCACTGGCTGGACATCCTGGCATCTTTCTTAGACCAGGATTTGTGCAGGGCTCTTCCCACAGGATCTGATTTTGGAGGCATCTGAGTTGCTGGGACTTAAAATGGATCAGATGGTACCAGGTGTGACTCTGCTTGCTCTGTTACCTTCTGCACCTTGCAGCAAGTGATGATTGTTTGGATCATTCCTTCACTATCCTCTCTTTGCCTTCTCCAGAAGCTGGAGCTGGGCAAGATATCCTGAAATTTTTTTTTTTTTTTTTTTTTTTTTTGTGCTGTGGGGTAAAAAGTACTTGACTCCTTCAGTTTTTGATATTTTTTTTCCTCCCCTGTCATTGTTTGCAATAATTAGTTACGTATGAGAGACAGGAATGGCCAGAGATCCTCAGGCATAAAAAAAGGAGAAGTAATCTAAAGTCTGAGCACTCATAATTAGTTTATATTCTCACCTGCAGTGTTTCAGTGTCCCAAAATACAAAATACTCATTGTCTTAAGGTTCAGAGTTCGTTGTGAAGTTATTCTCTTTATGCAGCATGTGGCAAACTAATTACAAGTCATCAGAAGTGTTCTCTGTAATAAGTAAAAGTAGAAAGCACTTGTGATGCTGCATTTAGAAGTTTGTATTCAGAGTTGGTAGGATGTAACCCATTAAAACTCCATTGTTAGCTCAGTGAAATTGGAGTCAATATGGGTTTTTATCAGGTCTGCCTTAGGGACAGCTGTCTAAATTACCTGAATTTGTTAGACTTGACATAAGTGCATGGTTGTCTTCAGAAGCATTCTCAATGCATTAGCTATTTTTACAATAGCTAATTGTAAAAATAGAGCACTGGAGCGCTCTTGGGGGGTTTTGAACCTTTAGTACCTAAAATTAGAGTAGGTGTGAGTGTTAGAAATTATTTCTGATCAAAGTGTTAGCCCAGCTTTTGTGTGATATGCCAATACAGCAGTCATACAGCTTAACAGAGAGAGCTGTAGTTCACTTTATAACTGTATTTTTATACGTTCTTTGTTCTGTATTCCTTTTTCACAGCTGGCTCTCATAATTCTCTTGGCTTCTTAGAAATCTTTGTCCATTTTGTGCTGATAGAAATGTGGAAGTTTTTTACTTTTATTCTTAATTAGGCTTGCTTTTTAGAACTGAGTCAAATTTCTGTATCTCCAGGGAAAATTGAAAGCACTCTGATTATTTTTATATTCCCCTGTGATTCTTGCAAAAAAGAAATGTAAAATGTATTTTTTGTTGTAGACTCTAGGCAGGCACATACAACTTTTGTAATGTTTTGTTTGTTTGGTTTTTTTTGCCAAGCAGTGTTGTATTCTTCAGTTAAGGGCATCATTGACAAAAGCTGCATATAATTTTAAATCAAGTTCTCCGTTTATGGTTTTTCAACTACTATGGGATTCTCTCTGAAGCATGAGTAAAACCCAGCTTAGTTCTGTGATGGGTGTTGAGAGAATTTCCACAGAGAAACCCCACACCTCATTTGCAGCAAAGCCTGAGTGGTTGTCAGGCATTCCTCCTTTAGGAATTTTGCATAACCCATGATTAGTTTCAGTAGCAGAGAGAGGGAAGCTGAAACACAGGATTATAGTCTTGTCTCAATCCAAATGGTGGATTTGAAACAGAGATGTGAATGCTGTTTTAAAAACTTACTTGAACTTATCTTCTTCTGCACAGGAGTGTTCTTTGCTCTGTCCCATCTCATGGTGTCCGAGGCACCAATTCTTACAGCATTTAAAACGCAAATAAATGTTCAGCTCATTCAGTTGCAGAGCAAACTTTCTAAATGTAGACTGAGAAGACTGAAGTGTGAATTGGCAAAGCACTGCAGGTTTCTTTGTGCTTTTTCCAATTTCCTTTGGTTATTCAAGTAGAAGGATGAAATCTAAAATGCTTTATTTTTCCTACTTCTCTTAATCATAGGTGATCATTGCAAAATTGTAAAAAATATAAGCAACAGCTGATATGAGATCAAGAGTTCCATGGAAAGGTTTCTAAGTAGACTTTAGTGCAAGCAAGTAAAATAGTATTGAAATCAACCAGGAGATCACAGAACAAAGAAGGGATACTGAAAAATTAATTTATTTTAGGAAAGGGGGGGTTATATCTTGTTGGAATCTGAACAAGTTTTCATGTGTTAGTTCAGTGTTGGAAGCATGAAAGACTAGGATTTTCTGCCCAGGTGATGTAGTTTTTCATAATTAATGTTCTGTGAGTTTACTTCTCTTCCTACAGCTCAGTAGGCATTCTGCCCATCTTAGAAGAAGGTCAGATGTGTATTTGGTTGGGTTTTTTCTTCTTTGAAAAAATCCCAAAACATCTTTTAGTACTTGTCTTGGGATTTATCTTTATATTCTCTGCGGAAGAAAAGAAAGAAATGCTGAAACCAGCAGAACCATCGCAGTAATTATTTATCTAAAAAAAGAATAGAGTTTGTGTTCTGCAGTCCCCCAGAGGAGCACATATAAGAAAAAGATGTTAAAGAAAAGAAAAGCATTTTGATTTTTGTACAGTTATTGATGTCATGGTGTCTATAACGTGTTCAATTCAATTTAGACATCACGATCTTCAAAGAAGGTTCATAATTTTGGGAAGAGATCGAACTCCATAAAGAGAAATCCTAATGCACCAGTTGTCAGACGAGGCTGGCTCTACAAACAGGTACTCAGACCCTCCTCACCCCCCTCTTCTTTTTTTTTTTTTTCTTCCCTCTACAGTGTGCTACCAAAGACAACCATTTCCATAAAATACAATGATAGCAATAGCAGAATGAAGCTTTAAACTCTGGTCTTCAATTCATTAACTCCTTACTGGATATCAGTGTGATACAAATAAGAATGTTATAGATGAGGAAAAATAAACAACCTTGAGAAGCCAACCCTACGCATTTCAGACTTCTTTGGCTGTGTGGGCTGGGAAATGAGGACTTTTACATTCTCGGGGTCACCTTGACACCCAGACCCCGAGACTTGTCCTGCTCTTGGCAGCACTGCTAATGCAGTCTGGGATGCTGCTGCTCTCCCTTGCTGCGAGGGTGCATTCCTGGCTCATGTTGGTGCAGGGGGTTATTCCTCTCCTGATGGAGGACTGAGCATTTCCCTCTGTTGAACTCCTAGAGATCCTTCTCTGCCCAATTTCCCAGCCTGTCCAGTCCCCCTGGATAACAGCACAACCATCTGGAGTATGAGGCACTCCTCATAGCTCTACCTATGTGCAGACTTGCTCAGGGTGAGCTCTGTGTGCAGCTCATTAATGAAGTTGTTAAATTGCCTTGGCCACGGTGTCAACCCCTGGGGCAGACCACGAGGCACTGGCCACCCATTCCCTGGGGCTGGCATGTCAACCAGTCCTTAATCCACCTCAGGGCTGGAGATGGTTCATGTGGGGAACAATTTAAATGCTGTGATGTTTGATTGGCGTTTGTAAGAAAAGGTGCCGCTGTGTATTTCCATGTTGGAGTAGTCATTGAGAGCCAATTTAGTCAATTTTATCAAGAGATACGATCTTCAGAAATGGACAGTGAAAGCCTGTGCAGGTTTCTTTCTGATAGTAAAATAACATTTATGTAATCACAGAGTTGCAGTTTTTGTTTAAATCAGGGTGTGCTGTCTCAGTAAGTGTAGTGATTTTCTGTCATTTTACTGCTAATTTTTAAATCCGGAGCCAACTCCTTTTTTGGAAGATGTTTACAATGAACATACTTTTTCTGAATAATGTTTCCTAGCCAATGCTTGGTTTACCCTTTCTTCTTTCAGCTCATTTCCCTCACTCCAAAAAGAGCAGAGCTTGAAATACAAGGCTAACAATTATCCTAACTTTTCTTGGGCTGGGGAACTACCCCAAAAACAAACCCACCCCACAGTTTTTCATTAGAGAATCCCTCTTCTTCATTGTCACAAAACCTATTTACTATAAGAATATTTTCTAATTCACACATACTTTTCTTTATGGAACAGATTAACATATTTATTAAATCTGATTCTACCAGGATGTGTGTGCTGCTGTGCTCTGGCTTATTTATACTGTAGGAGTGGTGGCAGTCTTTCGTTCTGAGTTGTGTGGTGTGAATTAGTTATAAGCATAAAAGAAAATTAAATTGCTGTAGGAATAAACTTTATTTGGGAAGGAAATTTGCTCTAGGCATATGAGTGGTAGTAGAAGACAAAGTTAAACAGAATTTCTTCAGAAAACAGAGGAGGATGTACCTGAAGTGTTATCTTCCTTTTTAAGAAAAAAAAGGTTTTTTTGTTTTTTTTTTTTTTTTTTAAATTAGTTAAACTGTAGATGGTAATCTCTAGCATGCCTGGAAAAAAGGAGGCTCAGACAGGGCCTTCCTACTCTCTACAGCTGCCAAAGAGGAGATTGCAGTGAGGTGAGGGCTGGTCTCTTCTCCCAGGTGTCAAGTGACAAGACAAAAGGAAATAGCCTCAAGTTCTAGGCTGGATATTGGAGAAAAATTCTTCACCAGAACAGTTGTTAAGCATTGGAACTGGCTGCCCAGGGAAGTGTTTGGGTCATCAACCTTGAAGGTGTAATTAGATGCATTAATGTGGCACTTGGGGACATGGTTTAGTGGTGGACTTGGCAGCGCTGGTAGCAGCTGGACTCGATGAGCTGAATGGCCTTTTCCAACCTCAGCAGTTCCGTGACTCCCTGTTCACCTCAGGATTCCTGGGTCACAGCCTTTGTCAGCAGTGACAGCTCAGGGTGAGAAGTCAAACACTTAAAACAGCCAAGAAATTGAGCCAGCAGCACACACAGCACAGTTGTGTGTTGAGTTTTTATCTTCTTTTTTGGGATTAAATGCATGAGACAGTATTTCTTGTTGGAACTCAGATGTTTATTAGTTCTTATCTGTGTCACAGTCTCACAAACCTAGAGTTCTACAGCACTTCACTCTAACAAACTAAAAATGGAGCCCCATCTCTCTCTCTACAAGGCCTTTTAAGGATAAACTGTCCAATTAAGAAATGACACCTAAATTATTTTTACTTTTAACCCAATAACCAATCACCCATTCCTGCAATGAGAACTTTTTTATCCAATTACACAAAACCACCCAAACCCACGGAGAAGACGGTGAAGAAGAAGGACCAGCCTCTGACCTAAAACCTCCATCTTGCTTTATATATATTACTATATTCTAAAACCTTAAACTCTAAGTTTTCCACCCTGTGACATTACACTCTTCTATTCAAACTCCACACCCACAATCTCAGTTCTATCATTCCATTTTGGAAGCTTCTCCACAGCCTCAGGTCAAACGCAGTGTTCTCTTGGGGGTCAGTGCCTGTCAGCACAGAAAGTCTCAAATTCTCAGCAAGCAGTTGTGCAGTGCCTGGTTTGTGCTGGGAACCAGAGCTGTCCCCAGTGTGTGTTTTCTGACCTGATCCCTGTGATTCCTGCAGGACAGCACTGGAATGAAGCTGTGGAAGAAGCGCTGGTTTGTGCTCTCAGATCTGTGTCTCTTCTATTACAGAGGTAAGTTCAGCTCCTGGGAGCTTCCTTTGCTGATTTTGCAGGGAGCAGATAAATTTTGACACACCACTCAAATGTAAGAAATAAGCTGCTGCTTAACTTAATGGATTAAAATGGTTGTATAGCTGTCAATATCCAGGCCTGTTACTCTCATATTTTTTGTTGGTTTGTTTCTTTGCTAATTACCAGTTTCACATAATTGCTTCCTGCCTGCCAGGCTGTGCTCAAAGGCCATTCAGAGCCACCTCTGTTACTAAATTCTGGGTTGTAGTTTTTCTCACAGTTTCTGTTGCTAGAAACTAAGCATGTCAGGTTAAATCTGATTTTTATGTGAGTTAAGTAGCTGAAGTGGGGATATAGTGCAGGGGAGCTGAAACTCTGCATTTAGAATGGTAAAGAGAGAATGGTAAAGAGCCTTTGGGAGCTCTAATCAGTGTTCATGAATACTTATCAAATGGAATGTTGTCCAATTCCATATGAGTAGAAGTCTCTGCTGTATTTGGAGCAAAAGAATCTGTTAGTAACCTCATGTAGCTAGATCTGACTTATTTTACATGGGAAAAAATAGTTGCTTCTCATTCTAGTCTGGAGTTAGGTGGGTTAGTGATCCCTTCACCGCTGCAGATTATGAACTGTGGTGTTTCTCCAAAAGCAAATGGGACTTGGGCATAGGGAAACGTGGACAATCCTGAAATAAAGTCTGCAGCCATTTTAGTTTAAAGGAGGCTGAGAGTGAGGAGGATTGTAAAGCATGGCAAAATAAAGCAATGTAAGCAGGGCTATCTGCTGCCTTGATGTGGGAGAAGGGCAACAGAGGGTTTGAGTTTGGGATGAAACTTTGGAATTGGTAGGACTGGTGCTGATGCTGGTGAGGCTGAAAGCAGAGACTGAGGAATTTAAAAAGGTGTTCACTGGAAGTGCAGCACGGATCCAATCAAAGACAAGTCAGGTCTGAAATATGAAAGCTCTCTTTGCAACTGATTTAGTTAACAAATTCTGAATTATTAAAATATGATCATTAGGCTTTGTTTCTCTATCCCAAGTGGGTCAAAATCAGGCTGAAATTCCAATTGTGGAGGCATTAACTGACTGATACAAATACACTATGGTTACATAAGTGGCCATTATATGCTTGGTGCTTTTTACAGGTTTATTTTAAACACCTCTTCAGGCTCCTTGTTCAAAAAGTTGTAAAAAAGAGTGCTACATTATTGCTGCCTTAAGAACAGATTAAGTTGTATTTAAGCACTGCACAGGAACTTTGTCAAAACAAAAAAAAGCAATAAGCAAAACCAACAACAAATAAAATAAATATGAACAGCTCTGTAATCTTATTTTTTATTTTCTATGTGTTATTCTGCCCAACATTCTGAAATACAGGCAGAATAATGTAAAATATTTATGTGATAAATGTAGCTTTTAGCCATCACTCACTAGAAAGTAGTAAAAACTGTTAAACTGGAATTAAATGTATGCAGTGATAGTCCAAAATGTATTAGAAGTGGCTGATAAAATACAAAAAGCTTTTACTCTAAACCCAGTTATATTTCTGTTAATTCTGTCTGAGGTAGTGAAAAGATAGGAAAGGGAGGGTCATGCACTTGCTCCCAGATCAAACCACAGACCTCTTTGTGGTTGTGCAGTTGTGGTTGTTTGGTTTCTTTGGTTTTGTTAGTAAATCTTGCTAAACTTTCAGACTTGTGTTACAATGTTATCAGCTGAAATCCAATTTATAGATTAAAAGAAAAATCATGTCATAGTATTTATTTTCTCCCAGCTTAGAGAATATTCTCTTTCTGTTCCCCCGAGGCATGAAGGACTATCCACTTTCATACTGGAAGGTTGTTATTGGCACAAATAAAAGTTCTTAGAACTGGAGATCCACTGCTTTTTTTGTGTGCTGTTCATACACAGCACACAAGTAAAGATAATATGGGGCAGTGGGATATGTGGACAAAAGCAAACATGATTTGGAACAGATTTTAAAAATGTGGAACTGGAATGTGGCAGAATGTCTTTAACAAAGACCAAAGTCCTTCAGACATGCAGCTGTTCAGTGGAACAAAAATGCTGAATGCTGGTATGTGGCACTAGTGGGGGATTTACTCAGCCATTAGTCAAAATATCATCTAGGAAAAGAGAACTTTTCCCACAAACAGAAGTCCAAATAAAGTAAACCCCAATATTTTCCCAATATGTGTTTGAGGCCAGGGCACTTTTGTGCGTGGCTAGCAAGGAGTTAATATTTGAAGGGAAGGTGGGATGGTTTCAGTCACATTTAAAGGTACTGTTGAGTTGCTGGAAGTAAATCCACTCCATTTATTTTCTGCCTTATAATAGGAATGAATTTATTCTCAGCTCTGCAATTTAAAGAACTATCCCCAAAAGCATCGTTTTTACATCTAATCTGTCATGTGATACTAAAATGGCTGGGCACAACTTTCCCCATATAAATAAATGAAATGAAGGTTTGGCTTTTCAAAATTCAGGAGTGAGAACCTGGAAAATATTTTTAAGTCCACATATAAGCAATAGTCCTGGCATGCTATTTAAGTGTATTTTAATTGTAACAGTGCTGATTTTTATTGAAATTTTGCAGTGGCTCTTTTCATCTTAATTTCATAGATTTTTTGTGGGCACTGTCTTCAACCAAGAGAAGTGTTATGAGGGACAGTCTCTAAGATACTGATTGTGAATAGGAGTTTTGTACATAAAGTACAATTAAGACAGACTTTATGAATTGCATCCAATTATTCCTTTATTAAAGTATAAGTGGATTTAAAAGCTGGTTGGGGCTTTCAATTAAAGTGTCAAATTTTTTATGATCTCTTGATCTAAAATTTTAAGTAAAACAAGGCTCTGGGAAAAGGGCATTTATTTTGAGGGAGAGCTTTTTTTACAAATTATCTGAAATGTGTGCATTCTTACAAATGGAATGATATTGAGTGTAAACTCTTTGTGGGAATTATAATGATAATTAATAATTAATTATTATAATGGGGATTATGTAGCATAATATGCCTGAAATTGGAAGAGGAATGTGCACATTTTCTCTAAAATGCCAGCAGTCGTAAGCAGTGTTTTTAACTACTTGTGTTGTCAGAGGTGTTTTTACAGAGGTGTTTTTACAGAGCAGGCAGGAGATGTGTGCTTTTCTGGCTGTCACTGAATTAAGAGCTTGACTTCCATCTGCTCTTCAATGGATTTCTGGTTCTTAATTCTTTGTCTTCTGAGCTGAACTTCTTGGTCGTGCTCGTGTGTGGCTGAAAGAGTTTCATGAAGTGTCAGGATGCAAGTGTTGTATGTCCAAAGGCCATTTTCTAATCCCAGTGTGCATTCCCAGATGAGAAGGAAGAAGGAATCCTGGGGAGCATACTTCTGCCTAGTTTCCAGATATCTGTGCTGTCTGCTGAGGACCACATTAACCGCAAATACGCCTTTAAGGTGAGGGAATCAGCTTTTCCATTGGATTTTGTGTCTGAAAGCACAAGGGCCTGGTCACAAAAACTCATTTTACAGAGCTGTTAGGTAAAAAAGGATTGACAAACAGCTTCTGAGGCTGCTTTTTGCATAAAAGAGTAGCAAAAGCTTCGATATCAGTTTTTTATCCTGATAAAAATATAGACATAATTGCTAGAATGGGGAAATGGATGGGTATCACTTAGTAGTAGTGTTTTCTTTTTTAGTTTGTGGATCTTAAATCCTGTGTGGTGCTACAGAATTATAAACCAGCATCTGCAGCTGAACTTATCCCACAAATGAAAGTTCATTCATTATGTAATACAAAGTATCTTTAAACATAAATAAAAATACGAATTTATTATCACTTAAATCACAATGTTACATGAATCACTCTTAGGAGTGTTTAGTGGCAATCTTAAATCATGATATAAATCACTTTACTAAGCATTTTGTCCTGACTTTTTTTATTGTTGTTTTATGAGCTCCTTTTAGCACTTTGTTTGGTCTCCTAACCAAGACATCATTTATTTACTATGGTAAGTACAAATTAAAACTTACTGTATCATTCAGACTGTCAAAATCTATGCTAAAATCTTATTTATTAGGATTATATTAATCTAAATTAATGAATGCTCAATATCATTTTTAGTAGATTGAAGAAATTTAAGGGCTTTTTGTTTAATGTATTAATGAAGAAGCAGCCATGATTGGAAATTACAGGCAGTTATTTTGAAAATATGAATGCAGTGACTAAGAAGCACTGTAATGTTCCTTTTGATTTTTTTTTTTCTGAGCATATTATTTGAAAAAATCTTGTTAGATAAAGCATTAGAGTGAATATGCAGTAACAATATTTGTCTCTCTTCTTTTACAGAACCTTACATTTTTATTGCAATGACCATGTCATTTCCAATCAGGCAGCTCATCCAAACATGAGGACCTATTATTTCTGCACAGATACAGGGAAGGAGATGGAGTTGTGGATGAAAGCCATGATAGATGCAGCACTTGTGCAAACAGAGCCTGTGAAAAGGTAGTGTGCATTGACAAAACAGTGGGACAGTGTATTGCTTTCTCTTGTTTAGTTTGATTTATTTAGTGAAAGACTGGTCCTTAAAATAGAATGTAAATCAACTGAAGTGATTTCTCCTAATATTGAAGACTCCATACTAACTGGACAGTGTTGGATAAAATTTTGAAATAGCAAAAATAATCTTAAATTCTGTTCTGAATATTGATTGTCAGGAGCTAGAAGAAAAAAAATGAACTATCCCTTTAGCCAGTGGCATCAGAAGAAGTGCAGTGACAAATTCTATGTGCAGGCATGTTTGACTTCCCTGCCCTCCTGACTGAATAGCAACAGCAGCTCAACTGGTGGCAGCCTTTGGCATAAACCTGTCATAATCCTCAAATTCACAGCTGGAGTTTCTGGCTAAATTAACCAGTTGTACCTGTGGGCAACCTGTGGGGAGCTATTCTTGTTCATCATTAAGCTGTCACCAAATTTATGCTTACCTGATCTGGAGCCTCACCTTCCTGTGCCCGTGTGTTGACAGTGAAAAGCAAATTATCACCGGAAGATTTGTGCTCTCCGAGACTGAGCCCTGTCTGCTGCTGTCTCTCCATGAGAGTCATTTGCTCTCAGAATGTGGTCCCTGGGGTCAGCTCCATGGCATCTGCAATGGAAACCTCATCAATTGAAAGTTTAAAAGCTCCTCGTTATTGACAGCACAGAAGTTATTGCTGATGGCTGCTGTCACTTGATCCACTCCGTTAGTTCCTGCTACCCTGAAGCTAAATAAAGTCAGCAACGCTGAGAAACTCTTGAGTTTAAAAAAGTAATAGAAAAATCTCATGGTCACAGGTACCAGAGAAGTTTAGTAGTAATAAACTTTATCTGAAAAATCAGGTTTGGATTGCAGATACAATGGTAATTTAGACATGGAGAAATTATTAAACCAAATGAAACCCACTTCACTTGAACCAAAAATCACATATCAATTGTATAAACACTTTGTAGAGGAACAAAACTGAACTGGAGTAATTCTCAATCTTTTTCTGAACTGAGGAAATGGCCTTCATTTGATATTTGCAATACTTTGAATATCTGCCTGGATATCACAGGCAGAACAGGCTTGCCAGCAACGAAATAGTTGTCAGAAAAGCAACTTATATAACGCCATCTTGTTGTTTTGATTCAGGCAAGAAACCTCAGAATGAAACAGAAGTAGATGTGACCTCTTTGAAAACTTTGTTGGTAGTCTTGAAATAATTACTTCAGAGAAAACAGATATCAAGACCAAATCTCAAAGAATTTCAAATCTGTTAGCTATAATAAGGAAGAAAACTCTTAAGACATCTGTTTTCTAAAGAATCCATCTATTGGCTGTTTTTTAAGCTCTTAAAATGAAACATAGCAGGATATGATCTTATGCAGAAGAAATACTGTTCCTTCCCTGTAAAAATCTGTTAAGTATTAAGTGTCTTATTACCTCATCTCTAAGTAACCTGAAGTTTGGCATAGATTAAGCTTAAGCATAAATGGTTTTGGTTCAGTCAAATTTGGCAGTACTTTTGTTACTGAGTTCTGGTTTTTTAGACGTTCTGACACTGCACTGAATACAGTTTTCTAACAGACTAGATACGTGCAATGCAATAAATGAGTACTTAAGAACTTGCTTCCTTAAATATTCATGTAAACTGATATTGGGCCACTTTTAATTGCCTGTTAATATAAAATGCTATATGATAAATCAAAAGTTTTTACATTATAATTCTTTAAACCTAGAAATCAAGACACTTCACTGCTTATGGTACTATGGAAATCAAATCCAAAAGTCTGTTAAACTGAATCTTTTAAATAATTTTAGCACAATTTTTGTGTCTATTTTTCTGGAGATGTGAGTTCCTTGGAGAGGATAAAGATAAAAGGAGTATTTAAAACGTTAAGTTGGTGGGAGGGAAGGGATGTTGCCAAGTTTTTCATAAACTACTCTTTTACTCTTATTTTCCACACATAGTTAGCCACATAAACCACAAATGAGATACTGAAGTAAGAAAGTAAAAATGTACCCATTTCTCTTAGAACTGGTCTTTATTAGCAGGAGAAATATTCCCTTCTAATGTTTAGCTGCAGGGAAGGACAAACAGTATTTGGTCCTATTGACTTAACTGTAATTATCCCTTTCTAAACAGTTCTGACTTTACCTAGATAGTACATTCAAGTTTAATGATATACTGAGAGACCTATTAAAATAATTAAACAAAATACTTTATTTAGTGAGTAGCTGTTGAAGCTTATGACTCAAAATATGATCTCAAACACTCTCCCTGGCTGCTTGCCTGTGTTTTTAGATAGCAGTGTCCACCAACACACTGATTTACAGTTTAACCTAAATGCTGATTCTCTGCTCTCCCAGGTTTGAGTGTCATTTTTCTGTCCTTTCACTGTCACCTTGTGTGCTGCAGCCTTTGTTTCTCCTCAGTGATGCAGCATGTACTAAGAAAAGATTGCTTCTTTCCCTCCTGGTGTAGTTACTTTCCCTGAGGAGCATAAGCCAGGCTGCCAAAAAAGCACTTGTTAGCATAGAGACATCCACGGAGGGGGCTGAGTGACGTCAGTGTGCTTGGAAAAGATGGCTTTTCCTTTTCAAATGCCTCTGCCTTGCTTCGTTAAATCACAGTCCTCGTGTCCATCTGATCATTAATCACATGCTCCCCCCTCTCCAACCCTTTCAGCATTATTTCTTTCTATAAACCAGCATAAAATTGTACTTCTCCTGTACTGCATATTGTACATATGATTCCTTTTTGGTTGCAGAAATATATAAATTGCATTCAGCATATGCTGAAAGACCCATGTTCAATGCTCATTCTCTTCCTCTTCTCCCTATCCCATCCTCAAACAGCCTGCAAGCTTTGTTGAATATGTCTTGGAGAGCTAGCTGTAAATATGGAGCCAAATACACATATGGATTTATGTTTCTTACATTTGTTTTTGATAATTTTTTCCCATATGGGTCCTCCAGTGTGGAAAGAGATCCCTTGCTCACTCAGAGTTGGCTGATTTGGTTTCACCAAGTTGAGAGAGCCCAGCAGGCTGTTTGAATGTCAGTCCTTCAGCCTCTACACCAACCCAAAGAGTGTAAAATGTAAATGTTTGGCTCTGTATAACCATAGTAATGAGGGATACAGCATGAGGCTGCATGGAAGAACAATTCTGTGATTTTGGGAGTTGCTGGTTTTTAATTAAAACACAGTGGAAAGTACTGTGAGAGTGTGAATTGAGCACAGTGCCAAGGCTTGACTTTGCCACATATATGATGAGTGTCCTAGACATGCTACTTTCCCTCTCCACCAAGGATTTTCCACCTTTTCCTCTGCTCTAAAGCCACCTGAGAATGATTTATAATATGTTTCCTATTATATAATGGGGTAGGTGGTGCTGTTGGGACATGCTGCAAATTAATGCCCAGGATTATTTGCAAGGTAGTCTTTATATTCATTTGTAAACTCCAGAATGCTGTCTCAAAACTGCAGTCTTAACACCTTTACTTGATAACTGTGGGAAATGGAGCTTTTAATTCACATTCCTGTTGGGAAATTCCTTTGGTTTCTGGTAGAGCACTGGGTAGTGCAGTTTTGAGGTAGGAATGGGGAGGATCCTTTTCTTTTCCATTACCTTGAGAAAGGAATCTAGGCACAAATGTTTGGTCTTGGGAGCAATTAAAGATCTTGGGGGGAAAAATAAATGGCTTTTTTTCACAGTGGGGTAAGCAATAATGCTGACAGCTGTGTATGTAGTCAGTCTTCTTGTGCTCCTGGTAAGTTGTGTATGTGATGGCCTTTTTATACACACTTCAACTGGATGCAGTTATAAAGATGAATAATGCATTAAAAAAAATATACAAAAAAAAAGTTAATTTTACATCCTCTTAAAATAAAGTGTTGTTCTTAGTTTGGTTTTATACAGAGATATAATCTTAAGAAATTATATCTCTTCCTCTTTTTCCTCCCATACCAAAAAATATAGAGCAAAACATTTTAAAGTGGTGAGGTTATTTTTTTAGTGAACTAAACCCAAAAGTCAATTTTTGAGCTGGAATTGAAATTCAGGTCTTCCCAGTTTGGCAAAAGATAGAGCCTCCTGACATTTGGAAATTTTAAAAAGAAGGTCACTAATAGAACTGCACACATGGAGTACTTGTGTAAATACTGTAAAGCAGTAGCAATTCTAAAAGTATCATTATTTTTGTGGTACAGTTCCTTAAGTCAGCAGCTATTTCCCCCCTTAAAATTAGAAAAAGCCACAATCATTTTCTGCAAAATGTGTGCCAGCCAAAGTGATAACACACCAGAGAAACCTAACTGATACCAGTGACCATGAAAAGTCATTTGCTTTCTTTAAAGGAGCTCATTATATGCTAAATTCAGCAGTATTGTGAATCACAAGCTGACTTTGAAAACCATGTGAATTTCAGCCTGTTGACATTTGGAAGCTGTAGCTCTTAGAGAGCCACTGAATATTTTTACCCTTTGCATTTTCCGCCCTCCAGGAGCTGAACATCCACTTTTTTCAGACTCTGGCTTTATTTCCTGTGGTGCACATGTTTTCTAGGGGGTTAAGTGACTCTTGAATTGAAAAAAAACCCAAAAAACTCATGTTATAATTGTTTTTAAAACAGCAAATAAAGACAAAAGTGTAGAAGAAAACAATATTCACACTTGCCAACCAGAAAAACCCCAAATCAACCAACTAAAAACCAAACCAATCAAGCACTACCACCAATCCCCAAACAAAATTAAAAACAAAAGAACACCAAAACAACAGCAACAAAACGCCCCAACCTGTCCTTGATTATTGTGAAAATGTCCTGATTTTTTCTCTCAAAGTCAAGATATTATTGCAAAATATACAGTCAGAGGTTCACTGAAATAACTTCCAATTTTTTATTGTTATTTGTAAGGAACATTTTTTTGGTATTATAACTTGTCATATGTTCCATTCCAGAATAGAGAAGTTCACTGTTGAAAATACATCACCTCGAGAGGCAAATAACATTTCAAACCATCGGGTGCTAATTAAGCCAGAGGCACAAAACAACCAGAAAAACAAAGAAGTGAACAAAAACGAGGAGAAGAAAGCTTTGGAAGCTGAAAAGTACGGATTCCAGAAAGTCGGGCAAGACAAACCGTTAACAAAAATCAACAGCGTGAAGCTGAACCCTTTGGGATCCGAGTACAGGACTTTGCCCATAAGCACAATTCCAGGTGGGCACTTCAGGCCTGTCCATTTGAATGGCTCTGAGAGTAAATCCATGGGAGTGGTGCTGGCAGATGTTGGGGATGGGGCCCATCACAACGCGGTGCCGGCGCACGCCGAGTCCGAGCGGGTCATGCAGAGAACCAACTCCATGCTGCAGCTGGAGCAGTGGATTAAAATCCAGAGGGGGAAAGGACATGAGGAGGAAACAAGAGGGTGAGTACTGGCTAATTTTTTTTTTTAGCCTTTCTAGTAAATAGTACTTATATTTATAGCTTGGTTATTTTCTCTAATTCTACATCTATATTATATAATCACATTCTTCCTTCTCTCTAAGAAATGCCTGGGTCACTTCTCAGAACAGAGAAGTTTCTTATATTAGCATTTGAATTATCATGAATAAACTGAAGTATATTATTAATAAATAATAATGGCCATAAACCCTTTTTGGGTGTTAGGCATAACCCTGTCCTAGCCAGGAGAAGGTGTCATCACTCAAAAAAATTCTTTTTCCTCTTAAAATCTGTTCTTGAAATTGCCTGCTCTTCTGCATTTGAGGATTCTCAGAACTGATGTATGAAAGTTTCTTTTATTAGCATTTGAATTATTATTAATAAACTGAAGTATATTAATAACTCAATAACTAAAAATGGTCACAAATCCTTTTTGGGTATTAGAAATTTCCCTGTCCTAGCAGGGGACATGTGTCATCACTCATAAAAATTATTTTTCCCCTTAAAATCAGTTCTTGAAATTGCCTTCTCTTGTACATTTTTGCTCACCAATTCTTGTGATAATATTTTATTTGAAATTCTTTTAAAAAAATATTCCTGGGAGCTTTGAAACTTTAAACCAGCTTTAAATGAAGAGAGGGAGAGAGAGGATTTACCTAAAAATAAGACAGAATCTAACTTGATGCTTAAAGCTTCTCTTCTCATGAAATTAGCTATCAGCCAGTTATAATATTGAGCTCTAGAGCTTATTCATGAAGCTTTAAAATGGTGTGTAAATGATTGACAATACTGAATGTCATGCCAATAGCAATTTCTCTTGACAGAAGTGCAGGGATGTTGCTTCCAGGCTGCCTTACAAACAAGCAGCTCCAGCAGGAAAATGCTAAAGGTGTTTAATATTACATTTGATAGGAAGTATGGAGATGCTATCACAGGAGATACTTGGAAGGGCTGGAAATTAGGGGGTTTGTGTATAGATGGATGACAGAGCAGAGCTTAAGATAAACCAAGCTGAGAAAATGTGTTTCCCCCACATATTTTGAGATATGTAGCTGGGGGCTTCTCTTTTTTTGCAAAATCTTGAAACATTTCCATGAACTTGGCTTCCACTTGCCAAGGTTGAAGATTTCCTCACTGCTTTTAGCCCTTCTTTACACATAAATAGGATTTGTTAATGTTTTGTTTCATGAAATGCTCATCATAAGTAGTTTGATCAAGTTTGAACTTCAATACAGACAGGGACTTGCACACCCTGACATTTATCTTATTATTTAAACTTGCATAATGAGGACTCAGAAGGCTCTTTGATGCAGTTAATTTTTTTAATTGGACTTTAAAACTTGCAACCACCCAGACAGAAGAAACTAGAAATAGCTATGCTATTTTTCAGTTGTGAACAAGTATAAAAACCCTAAAACCGATGTTGTTGTGGGAATCAAATAGAGGGAAATGCTATTAACAATATGTTACTAATTAACAATATTTTATTCCTGAGTATAGGGAACACTTGTTTGCCTAGATAAGTGTGGCACTGATAACATAAATACTTTCAAAAGCAGTTCTACATAAAAGTTGCAAACTGAAGGAGAATTTGCCTTGAGCTATTTTTGCTTTGCATGGAGACAGCCTTGAATAATGATCCAAATTTCTAATGTATAAAATGATGTCTTTTAAATGGGGATACATTTAAATTTAAAATTTTATGTTTCTTCAGGTTTCTGATTTCTGGCTGGAGAGATAAATTTAAGTAGAATCAAAGTTGGTGAATGAGAGTAGAAAAAAGTTCTGGTTTATGTTAAAACTTAAGGTTGGGGTGAGAGGAACCTAAGGCTGTTTAAGACCTGTAAAACTCGTAACTAAAATTTTTGAAAAAAGTAGTCTTTACCTAATGGGAGAAAGTTGCTGATTGTCCACCAAGCTGCTTTCCAGTGCATCTATAATTATTGTGTCTGCATTAGAGAAATCATGGAGGGGAGTATCTCTGGTATGTCAGACTCCAAAAAAAAAAAAAAATGGGACTAATGCTAAAAGGTTAACAAAGATGTTCAATTAAATAACTATATATAAAAGAAAAGAGGAGCTCTTAGTTCCTCAGTAGAAAATGAAAAAGGTTCACTATACATCTGCTAATTTTTTTAGAGGAACAGGCTGACCCCTAAGTAGTTTGATTGCCCAAAAAAGCAATGAGAATGACAGCAATGTAGATTTTAATTCTTCAAGGTGTTGTCTGTTGTTTCCATGGATCTAGACATCTAGTTGGGCAAAACTCACATGAATAAACTGCTGCCTTAAGGCAAACTTCTTTAAAACCGAAATAAATGTGTTTAAATAAAAAATAGATACATTCTACTTCATTATCATTTTATTGAATTTTGCACATGTCAGTTATGAAAGAAAATGTTTTTCACGAAAGTGGTTCACTTGACCACTTGGTCTATCTCAAGTGTGAAAAAATAGAGGGGTCGTTTGGTACTAAGTAATGTTTTTTGTTGCTGCTAACCAGGACCTGAGCCTGTCTGTCTGCCTTGCCTATATAAGATTCATCTGAAATAATAGATGCAGTAAAACACCAGGCCTCGATCTTCCACTGTGCCACCCTTTCTTGAATTTTACTTGGAAGTTCTGTATTTGGGGCCAGCTGGTGTTTGTGTTCATTAGGATGAAGGGCTGTTTTCAGGTTTCAATCCAAGGATATTCACGAGCAGCAAAGTTGCTTTCCCAGTGTCTTGGTTTGAAAGACAGGTGTCTGCTAAGAAAGGCAGGAGCCTCCCTGGAAATGGAAAATGTAAACCCCCTCCCTCTGAATTATTACAGTTTTGAAATTAAGGGGCTCTCAGGCAAAGATATGGGAATAGGAATAATGGTTTTTTACTAGGAAAATTAAGACAAATGCAATAGTACCAAAAAAAAAATACTGTCAGAGTCAGAATAGGAGCTGACAGCCTGTGGGTCAGGGAGGTGGCTGCAGCCCTCCTGCAGTTCCAGCTGTGCTTCTGCTGGAGCAGGATCCTGGACAAGGGGGGAGTTTTCCTCTGAAGGTCCAGGGCTGTGAAGATGGGCCTGGGCTTCCTCTGGGAAAGCAGTGGGGAAGAAAGCTGCTCCTCTGGGAATGCAGTGGGGAAGAAAGCTGCTCCTCTGGGAATGCAGGGGGGACGAAAGCTGCTCCTCTGGGAATGCAGTGGGGAAGAAAGCTGCTCCTCTGGGAATGCAGTGGGCAAAGGCTGCTGTAGTGTTGCAGAAGTCAGATTATATCGAGGTAGGAATTCTTCGCTTCTCCCTCTGGGTGGAGCATCTCCCCGTGGGATGATGGAATTTTCTCAGCCATGCAGGGACACTCACTGGCCATGAACAGAAGATAATTAATAATTAATGGCCCATGAACAGAAGTGATCTCCTGGAGGGAGGATTGATTGTGGAAGAGATAAAGAAAGCTGCCCAATGAACAGAAGATACATACCCCACCTCTAACAGCTGGCAGTAGAGCACACACTCCCAGGCACATCTTGCATTTCCTGCCTAAGACACCCAAATAATCCAACTCAGACACCAGAGCCACTATTGCTACCCAAGAGCAGCCCTAGAGACAACCTCTCAAGGTGTCTCTAAACACATGTGGAAGACTCCTTCTCACATGGGAACAATTATAAGGAGCTATTTATGATGGCAGCTGCAGAAATATTTTGCGACCTCAGACCTAACTGCAGCAGTCTCTCCTTGTGTGCAGAGCAGCTGGAAGCTGCAGTGCTGTCTGGAGTTGGGTTTCAGGTTTGACTGGAATGACATTTTTGCAAGTATCAACAGGAAATCCGTGAAGCTATTTTGATTTTATCAAATTATGTAAAACAAGGCTTAATATTGAGGTGGTTGAACTTTTTTCAATTTTCATCATTTAGCAATTGAAGATGGATTATGTTATCTTTCTAAATGTTCCAGAATATAAGTAATTGCATGCAGATTTTAAATTGATGTCTTTGCACAGCAAGACCTTCAGGCAGTTTTTTTGCAAGTTCAGGATATTTAAAGGTGCCCACAGGATTACACTGCCCATTTAATTAATAAATGTGTGAGGAGCTTTAGTGAGTGAGGTGTGTCTTGCTACTAAATATATTCATGAAAATGTCAGACTGTACTGTAGTTGTTATGGGGTATAGATACAATTCTATTTTGAAAGTTAGAAATGGAGCTCAAAACCATCTTGTTTGGTTGGTTTGGAATATGGAGATGGACAAAAGCCTTATCATTAATGGTACGTTACTAGAGAATTTTGGAAGTATTTTAGCAGATTTGGCAACAGAAGACTAAGACTTAGAATCCCTTTTCCCTTTTTGTAATTTTTTTTGTGAGAATGGGAAGCTGTCCAATACAAAGTGGGGATAATTCTTCCGTAATTCTTGAAAAGCTTCAGAAATTGTAGCAGATTCTGTACATAAAGCTCTTATAGCAGTTTTTATCTTCAAAATGTTGCAGATGATCATAAATATTCAGCCTATTTTCAGTGAAAAGTGGGTTTTACCATCATCAATTTCCCTGATAGTTATTCCATAAGGCTCTCACATGCATAATGCTGGTTACCTTGCCATTTGATCTACATAATTTTTTTTTTTTTTTTTTTTTTTTGTGACACTGAAGGAATTCAAAAGTGTCTCCAGGTTCTGGTGCTTCATGGTGCAGGGATTTTAGCTCGCATTAGTGTGGGGCGTAGCTGGAAGCTGCTGCCCTCTCATGGCTAAATCAGATCCAATTTGAGGCTGTTTTTGTTGTCTATAAGCAAGCATCAATCATATGCATGCTCTGTAGCAAAAGGCTTTAAGAGGTGCTCATTTGCATTTTAGATAAAGGATGAATAAATCAATGTTTATGACCTAGATTTTGTCCTCTGAAAAAAAATGAACAAGAAGTGCTTTGTCATACTTAGGCATGCATCAATCCTTGGTATAGAAAATTTTGTATTTCCACTAATGCTGAAAGTTGCTAAATTATTGTAGAACTCCAGACTTTTAATGGGGCAAAAAATTAAGAAAATAAGCCTTTGAATTCATATCTGAGTTGAAAAGCAATAAAATACTATTATTAAACAAAGATGTGTATTGCTCTTTGTTTCACAAGAATGGCTGATACAGAATGACTTGTCCTTGACAATTGCAAAATATAATTTCTGCAGACAATTCCAGCAGTTTTCCCACAGAATGCTGTTTAAATATTTTTTTTGTCTGTAGTAATTGCTCAATATTTTCTTAGGGAAACAACAGGATTTTTTTTCACTTGTGAAAAAAAAAAGCAAAGGTTTCAAATGGAAATATGGAAACAGTGTAGAACTTTAAACATTTAAAAACATTCACCTATCCAGCATATAGACAAGTTCCAAGATTTGATCAAAACTTGAAATCAAGTTTGCCAGTCTAGTAGGGTACTAGACTGGCAAATTGGTAAAAAGATGAAATATGGATTATATCAGCAAGAGCTAATCAGAAAGGATCCACTTTTGGCTGGTACAGTGCAGTCAGTCAGCATAATTGATTCTTGAACTGTTGCCTTGAATTTCTTGAGTGTTTTTTAAGTGGCACTCAAAGTATTATAAAAGGTGAGAGCTGGATAAACCCAACCCACAGTGAACAACTTCCTATTGCCACAATATTAACGCTAACAGAAGGAAACTTGTGTTCCAGCATCATCTCCTACCAGACACTGCCGAGGAACATGCCAAGCCATCGAGCTCAGGTGCTGCCCCGGTACCCAGAGGGGTACAGGACACTGCCAAGGAACAGCAAGACACGTCCAGAAAGCCTCTGCAGCGTGGCTCCCTCGGCGTACGACAGAGCCGCGGGGCCCGCGAGCGCCGAGGACAAGCGGCGCTCCATGCGCGACGACACGATGTGGCAGCTCTACGAGTGGCAGCAGCGCCAGTTCTACAACAAGCAGAGCACTCTCAGCAGGCACGGCACCCTGAGCAGCCCAAAAACCATGATCAACATCTCTGATCAGACCATGCACTCCATTCCCACGTCCCCCTCGCACGGCTCCATCGCCGCGTTCCAGGGATACTCCCCGCAGCGGACGTACCGCTCGGAGGTGTCGTCGCCAGTGCAGAGGGGAGATGTAACCATCGACCGCAGGCACAGGACACACCACACAAAGGTAAAAAAAACCTTCATTTAACAGTTAAAACTCTGATTTACAGGGCTTTTCAGTAGAATGTATCTGATCGCTGGAAAAACAGAGTATATTTTACTGTAACGGATATTGTTGCGTCATGGTTTTCATGGAGAAAGGTTTGGTTTTAAAAAGGATGAAAAATCCAAGAGTAGTAAAAAATGTATTCTTTAGAAAACTAGATAATGAAAATGTGTCCTGATATTACTGCTCATGATAATATGTTTCCTCTAAAAAAAATAAGGAGTCAGTAGGCAAATTATTCAGAATACCTTATGCATGTGCAGAGCTGTAATTCATTTCTAGCACCAAGAAGACTCACAATCCCAGGCTTCTTTACACATGCTGCTTTCTGTCCTTCAGCCACACAAAGGTAAAAAAAAAAGCTTCATTTAATAGTTAAAACTCTGATTTACAGGGCTTTTCAGTAGAATGCATCTGATCACTGGAAAAGTCCTGTTGTGACAGAGTATATTTTACTGTAACAGATATTGTTACATCACAGTTTTTATGGAGAAAGGTTTGGTTTTAAAAAGGATGGAAAAATCCAAGAGTAGTAAAAAATAAGGAGTCAGTAGGCAAATTATTCAGAATACCTCATGCGTGTACAGAACTGTAACTCCTTTCTAGCACCAACAAGACTCAAAATTCGAGGTTTTTTACACATGCTGCTTTCTGTCCTTCAGCAGCAAGTTTGGCTGCCTTGGGTTCCAGCAGCAAATCGAGTGTATTGTTCCTTTTTGTGCCTTCGAGCTCTTAGGGGGATCACTGTTGAAATGCACACAACCTTAGTGCTTGACCAATGGAGATTGTAAATTTGGCTGCCATATGTGCCCCTCTGCTACATCCAGCATGCTTGTGTTACCATGGGCTATAATAGATTGGAAATAAATAAAAATTATTCCTTCAGTTGGATGTAAAATGCTCCTGAGCATTTTTCTAAAAACTTTATCCTTGGATGTCTTTTTTTTTTTTTTTTTTTTTTTTTTTTTTTTTTGCAGGGAAAGAAAAAATCTATAACTACAACTTAAAGCAATTTAAACAACTTAGAATTGATTATCAGGTGTTGGATTTTCAAGTTTTTAGATCCATATCACCAAAGGAGTAATTTTGATTTGGCATCCTTTATGTCTCAACTGCTCTGGAAATTTAGTAATCAATGCTTCTCAAATATCTGAGAAATACCACTGGGGTCAGTGCTGCAGAGCGTGTGTGACTTGTCCTGTCAGCCATGTTTTGCTTCCTGATGTTTTTGTTCCTTATTGAACATTTTGTGCTAGTATTTTATTTAATATTGAGTATCTTTAGTACAAACCTCCTGCTTCCCTTGAGTTTTTCATGCAGTTTGGTTTGTATGTAATTAGTTACACAACCAGCTTTTGCCATTAACATTAAAAACACCCCTGTCTTTAAGAGGCGGGTATTTAGAAGACTGATTATTTGATATCAGTAGGGTAAATTTAACATCAGAACTCCATCTACATAGAGAGCTTAGGTTTTTCAGTGGCTTTCAATGGTTGGCTTTTTATTTTTAGGTTCTCAGAATCCTCCTGAAACCCCTCTGTGACACTGATTTGAAAATGCCACGCTGTGTCTCTCCAGAGCTCAGTCCCATCTATGTGCATTAAGTACTATTCCACGTAGAGAAGTGGGATGGATTTTCCTTTCCAGGGCTGTATAGCCAATATTTGTCATATACAGTGCTGTACTTCTGCATAGACAGCCATCCAAACAGCAAGTGCTAGAATTCATCCAAAATTCTGTAATTCTTCTATCACGAGACGTTAAAGCAGTGTTCTTGTAATATGTCAATTGTTATAGGCTGGAGCATTTAACCCACAAGAAGATCAATTTTTTGTCACAAATATATTTTTTTCCATGTGCTACAGGACTCTTATCATCCCAGGCTGGACTCTCAAATTTGCAGAATTCCTGTTAGCATTTGTTACCTTTTAAGCCATTGCCTTTTTTAAACTTGTTCACAAGTGATGAGTTAGAAGGAATATCTGGAGAAGGACGTAAAACAACTCAAATGCTCTTTATTGTGTATAAGACAGAGACTTAGTCCACTTAGCTAAAATCAAATGTTTAGAGAGCAAGGCTGAACTTGCAGGAGTTGCCTCATGTGTTGGAGCTGGAAAGGTGAAGAAAGTCTTTTTAGTCATCCAGCAGTTTTACAGGAAAGTGGACACTTACTTTGAAGAAAAGGCTACTAAAGAAAGTTAAAGCCCCCCAGGAGGAAAGAGCAATGCTTTTATGAAGGGTACTGGAGGTCTCTTCCAGCAGAGAGTCGAGGAGCCCAAGCCATGTGTACATTTATCCAAGCATCCTCCTCAAACTGGACTGTGTGGCCACCATGCTCAGGACAAGCTGCATTGTTTGCCTAAGTCAGCTCACTCTGGCAGGCAGAGGATGCTCAAGCTGAGCTGCTTCCCAAGAGAAAAGGATCCAGAAAGAAGAGATGGGTTTTGTTGTGGCTTTTGGTTTTGTTCTGCTGATCCTTTCTCACCTCAAAGGATGAGGCAAGGGTGGTATTGCAAGATCTGGCAAACATAAAACAATTGTGTTCATATCCACATGCCCATTTGCACAAATCCTCTTGTGTGTGGCTATTTCAGTGTAAGAAGTCAATAAAGGCATGGTTTGAAAGTGCAGGAATGAGAACATCATGAGCAGATGCCAAAACTTTCTATTTTTTACAGCACGTGGTTTTGAATTGATTGCTTGTATATGTTTAAAAGGCATTGCCTAGTCCAAAGTAGTCACCCTGCAGCTTAAAAAATTTCTTTCATATTTCTTTTTATGTCAGCTAGTTTTCCATCCTGTGTTGTCTTTCCTTATTATTCCAAAACCTTCCCTATTATTCTTGAAATAGAAATGACATCTGCAGCCCCAAGAATGCTGCACTACACCCACAGAACTTGCTTTATCTACCAATATGCCCCTAATATTTTGAGAGTACAGCAAGAGAGAAAAGACTTACCTCCCCAAATTGCTGTTCTTCAGCTGACCTTAAATGAACTGTGTCACCCGAGTTCCCTTTGGAACACTGATAAAGGAAATAAGTCCTCAATGGTTTATTTTATCACAAATCATTGTAGATGTACTTTCCTAAGGTATCTTGCCATGGCTGTGGACCTTTCTGTGCTAAAACTGTCTATTGTTTTTAAGGCTTCCTTTAAAATTGCTACAAAGCATTTAATATTTGTGAATAATTAATATTTTTCAATGTTCTTAGCTAATGTCTACATTTATTTAGACATTAGATGTCTACATTTATTTAAACATACATTTAAGTGATAAACATCCGCTTTGGGGAATATGTCTGGTTATATTGCTTGTGCTTTGGAAATAGAACTGTAGTGGCAGTCTCTTGGTGTATTTTAAGAAATAAATGTGATTTTTGGGTAGACCTTTCTCATGGTCAGCACTTTCTCAGTAGCAACAATAATGAGGGAGAACTGTTAATTAAATGAAATATGAAATTTGGGGTATTTCTAGAATTTAGATAGACTACTTGAGTGACCTAAGTAGTAGATCAGCAGGGAGCATGACTGGCACAAATCATAGCAAGTTTTCATAAGGCAGAAGTTGGCTTGACTTTTTGTGTTAGCATTTGAAGTTTTTGAGTCTTTAGAAATAACTGTGGATCACACTGTGCTATTTTTTTTTGTACAGCATGTCTTTGTGCCTGACAGAAGGTCGATGCCAGCAGGTCTGAGTTTACAGCCTGTTACTTCTCAGAGCCTCCAAGGCAAAACAGTGAGTTGGATTTTTATTTGGTACATCGGGTTTTTTAAGAATAATCCTTTAAGTATGAAGAGGCAACATTGAAAATTTATTCTAGTTAAAGCTTGCTTTAAATGTAACCTTTATTTAAATTATCAGGGAAAGAAGTGCTCTGTGATTACACAGAATTCTAAGAATATTGTGTAGCTGCTGAGTCAGGGTTTTCTTTGGGAAATACAGATTTACTATATTTTAATCATTGTTGATACACTGCTGAAATTCCTGGGAGAGGGTAGACTACATCACAGAACACTTACTTCTCCATTAATTATTTAGAAAATCCTAGAAGTAAAGTTTGACTTTTTTGGAAATGTAAAAGAGCATTTTGTAAAAGGGTGTCCTTTCTGTCACTGTTCTGTGGTAGAGCTGAAATTCTCATTGAAGATATTTCATCAAAGTGATGTTGATGAATACTCTCCACTTCCGTAATTGGAACATGACTCTCAGCCAAAAAATTGCCCTAAATTTATATCACTTCTTTACCAGTTTTTGTCTCCTTTTTTTGTCTTCTCTCTGTCCATCCAAGAATACTGATTGGAGACAGTTATGAATTAAGAAAACAGATTTTTTTTTTTTTTTTTTTTTTTGGGATGGGGGGGATCATACTGTGGGCAGCCAGTCCTTCCACTGCCTCAAGCCCTGTTTCCTGCACTTCCCAGCACAGATTTCTGGCACCTTCAGCAACTTTTGTGGGTTGGCCTTTGGCAGCTGGAGCCTTCCAAACATTTCTTAGGGTTTGTAGCCCCTTCAGCTCTGCTGGGCTGATCTCCAGAGGGACAAGAAACCAACGAGAAATCCTGCCCACAGCAGAACAGTGCAGGGGCCAGAGGAAGAAACCTGTAGATAGCCCTGAGAAAAATTGGTGTTATGGTTGCTGCAAGAGTCCCAAGACCTGCATCAAATGCACAGCACCTGCAGCAACTTTATGATTGTCTAGAGAGGAGCAGTTGTTCTGTTCTAAGGGCTCTTCTTTCGAAAAAAACGTTTGTGTTGGAGTGCCATGAAATAAGTTGTTCCTAATGCACTAAAATTGGGCTTTTTCAGAATGTACCAAAAGGAGTTTTGATCTTGAAAAAGTGCTCCTTTTGTTTGAAGATGCTACTTTTTTTTCTCATATTCCTAAAAATGAGGCTTCTTGTGCTTTGAGTTCTTTGCAGACTGAAAGCACTGTTGCCTATTTTTGGAGAGAACTCCAAAATGTCTTGTATAGCAGTCTAGATTCTTACACTTACTCTCTGGAATTAACTATTTTAAATCCAGGTATTGAAGGAGAGCTGTAAGAAAGAAAACTGCCATTAGACAATTTGGGTTTGGTGTTGGTTTTCCCTCAAAAGCAAATAGTTTTGCCAACTGAAGCTATGTGGAAATCCCTTGCTCCCTCTTGTGGGCTCCTCTGTTCTGAACTCACAGAAGTGCTGGTGCCATGCTGCTTCTCAGGGATTTTCCCTCTTTATGCTGAGAAACTGGTATTCACTTTCAGCATTTTTAATGTGTGGTTCTCTGGAGCTCTTTACTTCTTTGCTTTGGGGAAGTTCTGTGGCTGTGGGAGAGGGCAAGCAGGGGTTTAGGAGCTTTTTGTGTTTGGGCTTTGTTTAACTCACAGGGCTTGTGAGAAAATCAAAACACTGGATGAATATTTAACCTCTTGTAAGGCTGACTTCTGGAGAAGTGTAAGAAACAGAAGCAAACAGGAACATAACAAAAATACTTGTGATGCACAGTGGTTTGTTTTCTTTGGAGTATTGCTAATAGAAATGGTTTACAGGAATGGTTGAGGTAGAGTTTCCCAAACTGGCCTAAGCTGATCTGTGTGGAATTACCTGACAAATACACATTTGAGTTGGACTTTACTTCCATAATCTTGGGTCTTAAATGGTATTCTTCATCCCTTCCTAAGGCTGTATAATACAGCTTAGTCATAAAAGTAAAGTGATAAAATAACTGGAGGCCTCAGACCTGTGAAAGGTGGGATGGAAAAGTATTTTTGTCATGCTTGTGCAGATTTATTTTGTGAACAGTGATTATTTCTAAGGTAGCTCAGTAAACATGTGATTGTCATCATTTTTTCCTCTCAATTTTGACACACGCGTTTGAAGAATTATTTTAAATAATTATGTGAAGAATTATTTTAAAAACTACATTTTCATGAGGTCATGTTTTGATTCTTTCACCAAGCTCAAATGGCTGCCCACGTATAGGTAACGACATCCTAAGGGCTGGATTTGTCTCCCCCTGACTTAAGTCAGTTTGATATGCATGTCAGGAAAATTTGAGGACTGCACAGACTTTGCCCTGCAAAATCCTCAATTATTTTTGTTCTTAATACAGAATGTTTGACTTTTATGGCATTTGCTGGTTTGAGCAGTCAGAAGCTAACCCTTCATTTTATATTTGGAGGTGTTCACTTGGGGAAGATGTGTTGTGTCACTGCCAGAGTTTCTGTAAGACAGTCCAAAGGTGCACCTGACTTGACTTTAGAAGCAAACCTTTTATAAGGCATGCCTTATTTTACTGAGGTGTTGTTTGGGGTACCAATTAACCTTTTCTCTGCTCTTTGGCTTCTCACGCCGCACTCCTTCAGCCGGAGGAGCTGACGCTGCTGCTCATAAAGCTGAGACGGCAGCAGGCGGAGCTGAGTAGTATCCGGGAGCACACACTAGCACAGCTCATGCAGCTAAAGCTTGAGGCCAGCAGCCCAAAGGTCAGCCACCCAGCAATGTGTGTCATGCTCCATCCTCACTAACCCACGGTCATTCATTAACCCAAGTTTGCTTTCTGCAAAATTCCCTGGCTCCCGCGCGAGCAGAACGGAGCGGCGCTAATCCTTTGTGTGCGTGGGGCTCTGCTATCAACCCTTTGAGGCTTTAGTTTTGGAAATGAGCCCAGGCAAAAGTAGCTGGGAGTATTTTGAAGTGCCTTGTAGCTGGCTGGAGTTCTGGGCTAAACAGACAAATGGGGGATACAAGCATCAGAAAGCCACCCCAGATTTAAATGAAGTGGTTTTAATCTATTATTTTGTATTACAAGCAAAATGAGACGTGATAGACTGAGATTAGTCTGCTGTTTATGCAGCCTCCAGTCAGACTCCATCTTATTTGCAACACGTCTATGAGAAGTAAGACATGTTTAAAACATGGATTTATCAAAGGGTTCATAGTTGCCTATGTAGTGGCCATTTACATAAGCTTACTTATGTGTTTTATGTGTAAACCAAAATTAAATGTAGTGGTTCATGGTCTGATTTGTAGCAAACTCTCCTAATTTCTGTTTCGGGCTCAAAACTTGTTAACAATTCACCAAAAAAAGGTTAAAAACAGCGTTGTATTTCTCCATAAAGCAGAACTGTCTATCACTGTCTAGTTTACATCCTTTAAAGCTCTTTTCATGCATTCTGCACCTTCTGTCCCTTTCCTCTTCCCCTCTGACTGCTGCCTTCTAGAATGAGATTCTTTCACATCACCTTCAAAGGAATGCCATATATTTGGATCACCAGGTGGGATTTGCAATTTGCTTATGCATTTGTATTTCTTAATGCTTTTTTGCCTGCTCCTATCAAAGCTGGAAATATTTGGGGAGAAGGATTTTCAGTGCTTTTTGTGAGGTTGGATGAAGCCCACAGCATAGAATATCTCAATTGATCACAAATTTGAGCTCTTAGGAGGAAAAAGAGAAGAATCCCTCAATTTAAAATTTGTCAGAAAACAGTAGCCAGTCACCAATTAATTTTTCTGTTCTAAATACATTCCTAATTTCCTTTTCATAATAACACTAACTATAGCATTTTACATTCTTTAACCAGTCCTAATATGTTTGCAAGCTCATATGACACACCATGGGATTTATAAAAAATGGGTACTTCTAAGAATTTCAGTTTTTCAGATTAAAAAGAGTTAGATGTTTCTGCAGGACATTAAATGAAGAGGAGGTCAAACATGAAGACATATTTTAAACAAATCATAACATGTCTCCTTTTCTCATTTTTCTCAGTTCATTCTGAAGGATTTATATAAGAATAAGATTTTAATTCTTTCCAGTTTCTGGTTACCTCATGGAGCGAGGGTACAGATCTGTCTTCACTAACATAATTGACTGCCAAGTGAAGAATTACAATATCACATACTTCTCTTTCTGGCCTTGTTTCATGACCAAATGGGATTTCTGTACAAGTTGTGTTTGAGAAGTTTTGAAGTGTATTTTTTTTTTTTTTTTTTTTTTGCTAGCAGTTATAAAAGACTGCTTAGAAAAGTGCTTAGAACTAAAATAAGCAACTGGATGACCATTGGTTAAAAATATAAAAATCACTTTTTCTAAGATATTTTATATTTATTATGTCTTTTATTGAAACTTTTGAGCCTTACGCTTAAAACTAACTGTTAGAACTTTTATATTCTATATTTTCCTCTAGTGAGGTTTCAGTGAGTTTTTGAAAACTCCAGCTGTGCACAGAGACACACAATACACACTCTCACATGGGCTTGGTTCACCCAGTGACTTTATTTTCCTATTACCTCTTGAAAGCAGGGTGGGAATTCTGACCAGTTCAGTTCATTGGCAATGCATTTCTAAACATCTCTGTATTTTATTTAAGGGGCTGCAGCAGGTCCAAAACAGTAGGGACATACTGCTTGTTATATTAGACCAAAATATCTCATCCAACTCAAATATTTCCAGTCTATAATGCTTTGGAATAAGGGAGTAATTCTGTCTTCATTGTCAAGAAAGGATAACTGTCGATGTGAAGTATAAAATTGTTGTAGCGGCTTGGTTAGCCAAGCTTGTGGGTATGATGGGCAGGATTAAATGGGGGGAATTGTCTATGTACAAGATGCAAAATAGTAAAAATTATTTTCCTTTCATTTGCACCAGATAAAATTTAGAAATGTGATGTGGTAAGCATTAATTAGGAAAGCATGTAGGTCTTATAGTTGTGCCATACCAGAGATGCAAGGAATCACTACAACTTAGAAATCCAGTCTAAAATCTATTACCTTAATCACAAAATCATGGAAGAGCAGGTTGGAATACTCATTTCTCTTGTTTTATAAGACTATCATCTACCTGTAGGAAATAAATCTCCCTGAAAGTTTTTCTGCTTTGAATACCACTGCTTCTAGGGGTGGTTTCACATTTATAGCTCTTCATTACTTTGCCAAATATCAAATTCCCTTTATTTAAAAGCATTACAAAAAAATCAAAATTTCTTTCAGTGTAGTTGAGGCCTTTCCTCCTTGTTACCAGCATCTGTAACCAGCGTGCATAATAGCTTACCTTCTCTGGATTTTAAATGTCCTGTGTACTTAAATTAGATATTTCCACTTGTATTTTATCTCTGCAAATAGTGTCAGAACCTACTTTGCTTATAGCACATGGTGGGACTACAGTCCCTGTATGCTCAACTCTCACCTTCTTGGTCACAAAGAGCTCAGTACTGTACACAAGAAATAGTAAGTTTTTTTACAAGGTTGTACAGGTGACTTGTCAGGCAGATTAAAATTCACGTGTAGGGAAGGTAACTCATATTCTATTGCAATAAGCTGGCTGCTGCTTAGGTGGTTTTCTTGTCAAGAATATCCAATCACCTTTTAGCAATCAAGTTTTGGTTTTGTACTGCTGTTTCCTCTGGCCATGCTCAGAAATTCTCACGTTACACTTTCTGATGGTTTTGCATTATGCTTTCAGAATTTTTGTTGTTGTTGTTGAAGTTCAGATGGAGAGAGGGGGGGGGGAAAAAAGCCTGAAAAGACTCTGCACACAGATACCCAGCCATATTATTTCTTGCACGTCTTAGGGCCAAATAAATGGTTGTCCAGAAGCCTTTTATTTTTAAACCACTCTGCTGGTTTGCAGAGTTGAGAGAGAGATTCAGGTGCATTTTAGGAATTTTAGGAGTTCTGGACATATTTAGCAGCCCTAGGCAAGGATGATTTGTTTGCCAGCATGGGACATTGAGTACACATAGGATCTCAGTGTTCTGCATTGTCAGATTTTGAAGAATCACTTCTTGTGTGCTACTAAATGCAAGCCAGCTGTCTCCTTAATTTATTTGTACCCAAAAATTGCAAAAAGAGTAAACAAAACATAACATAAGGTTGGGTTTTTTCCCCAAGTAAAAGCTAGACATGTTTTTTTCTCCTTTACAAATAGCCATGGCAGAAGGTCCCACTTTTGAACCTTTCTGTTATTATCAAGAATTCCAGCACACCAGTCTTTCACACTTCTGAATTTATCTTGATAGGAAAGCTTCTCTTTGGCTGAAAAACCCTTTACTGCTAAGCTTATGTTACCTTTACAAAACTCCCTATCCTAGGCTGATTGGTCACAGAAGCTTTACTAAAGTTAACTTCATTTAGTCTTTTTCAGGGTTTTTTTTTTTCCAATTTTTTTAAATAGTTATTTATTTAAATAGTTTAGATGCTTAAAAGTTAAAATAATTCTGCTAGGACTTTAATTGTCAGTCTCTTTCCATTTTCTAAGTGTGTCTAAAAATAAACAGAATTTTAACAAGAACTTGTCAAACTAAGAAGTGAAGGCCCTACAGCCAACATCCTCACTGTCTTGGTGCTTTGCTTCTATTTTCTGCTCTTCATCTCCTTTTTCTGAGGTGCTGAAAGTGGCTCTGGGAACAAGTAGTGAATTAAGGAAGGCTGAAGTAGTACAAGGAGGTTTGGATATCCCGTGTTTCAGCCTAAAATTCCATGTCCTGTGTTAGCACCTTATAGGGTGCTACTTTTATTTGTATTTTCCAGGTTGTCTGGAAAAGCTGAAGTGGCTGACCTGGCCCTGGTTTTTTTTTCCTTCCCTTCCTCAAAGGAAGAAGGAAGGCTCAAGGATAGGGAATATGGGGTTAAAAAAAGACTGCAAGGAAGAAGGAGAAGTACTTCCCCTTTTCTTTCTGGGACTGAGGATTAAAGAACAGAGGGAAGGTGGGAGAAAAGCTTCCTCGGGTCCTGATATTTTTTCTGCTCAATAAGCTCGAGAGGAATTGGGTAAAATGGTTAATCTGAGTCTTTTGTTACCCAAAACATGCAGTGTCACCTCAGCAATGAGGTCACCAATCCTGGTAAGCAGCCACAGTCCCAGCTGGTCACTAGAACATTCTGGAATGTCAGCTGTGCAGGGTGTCACCAAACATGGAATCTAGGAAAAGGCAGGAAGAGGAAAAGTTGCTGACAGCTTGACTTTCCAATTTAAACCACAAAATACCCACTCAGAAATAAAGTGGCTGTTCATATCTGCACCAAGAATTTACATAGCTAGCTCCAGTTACTGCTAATTAGACCAATTCCCTTAATTCCTCCATTACATTTTCCTGCATTTTTCAGTTAGCTCTAGTAAGAAGTTAGTATAATAAGTTATTATTAAATAGAAACATACTTGATCACAAGTACTGAAAACTATAGATCAGTGCACTACTACTTTATTCTAATTAAAACCTTACAATTAGTAATCTGGTAGACTAAATAAGATACCTGAAGTTACTTCACTGTGCCAAATCTATCCACCAATTTTGGAACTTCTGAAATACTTAAAGCTTTTTCCCCCATCTTTTTGCCATGCAAGAACCTACACAAGTCAGACAAATGTGAGTTACAAGGAAAAATTGTCACATGTCAAGGAGGTCAGGGCTTTATCTACTTTTTTTGTACTACATGAGTCCAAAAATAGGAGAGATGAAACATTACTTCTTTGGAGAAAGAGATTTACTCGAAGTAGGAAGTGGTAAAGCCAAGACTGATGTATTTTATTTGGGTTTGTTGCTGTGTGGCAGTTCACACTTCTCTTCAATTATGGAGATATTTTTTATGGCTTTTCCAACTGGAGAGAATCTCATGAGTATAATCCTTTTAGTGTTACATAGAGGGTCTAAAATCTGTCCTTTATTGTAATTTATTTTTCCTTAAATAAGTGAAAACCAAGGTTCTGTTAATGAGCAAGCCAGTGTTTTTCCTTGAGCCATTTATTCAGTGTGAATAGTGTCCAGCTTCAGTTTGGGAGTAGCCTTGTGATAATGCTTGAAGACCACAAAATAGGTGTCCTTGTCATCTTTTCCAGCATGGGACTTGCCACTGTGTCCCAGGTAACTCTGATTTACTTGTGCACTGGCTTTAACTTTTAGAAGGTTTGTCACGCATAGCTGCTCCCTCAAGATCCTAACTCCTCAGCACTTAAATGTCACTAATTTTTTTGAAACATTGATCCCAAAGGGGAAAAACACTTGTACTGGACTGCTCCATAGGCTCTTTGATTGGCATTGCTTTATCAATTGCCTGCTTTTTAATCTTTGTTCCATAAGGGCTTAAGGATCTGTGACTTTTCTGGATATACATGGCCTTTACAAACAGGGTTAGATAAGTGTGATTAAGCATCTGTAGTAATAAAAATGGTTGGTAGAACTGTAAATCAAAGTTGAAGCTTCTAAAAGACAAAACCTTACTTCAAAATGTCTTTTGAGCAAATACACATTGCTTGTTTTCTAGGCTTGATTTAAACAACCTTTGAGCAGTTCAACAGAAATTAATTCTGGCACTGTCTGTTACTGGTCAGAAAAGAAAAATTTGGAATATTGTAGAAAGGTGTTAGCTAGAGTTTATGAAGCAGTTGAAACCCTGATAATAAAAATGCATACAAACCTGTGTTCCTAATAAAATATTTGAGCCTCCGAGAAATTTTTCTTTTATTACTTTAACAGTAGGCTGTAGTTTGGTAGCTTGGCTTTGGGCCTTATTGTTGCTCTCCTTATTGAGATCTCTTTTAGTATCACCACTCTCTGGGAGGCACCCACTCTCTGGAGAAAATTTTAATGCAGAGGGCATTAAATTTTAATTAAATTAAATTTTAATTAAATTTTAATACAGTTATTGGCTGATTAACTTACCAGCTGATCAGACTTTGCAATGGATAAGAAATAACAACAACAACAACAAAAAGATCCTCTATCTACAACAAGAAAAAATTGTTTACCATAAGATGAAAAAAATACTGCTCCAAATGTAAAAGTTAGGTGTTTCCTAAATAATTTTGGGCAGGAAATACTAGAAGGTGTCAAAAACTCGTTCTGTCGCATTTCCATCTAATGAAAGAAAACCTTGCTATACAAATTTCATGGAGAGTGCATATAAATACAAAGTGAAAGATCATAAATGCTTCTTCACACACTTTGTGTAACCATACCTGAAGCAGGTATTGCTTAAGTTTCCAACAAAAATAGGAGGAGAATTGTGCATTTAGTGACTTTTCAGTTTTATTTCAGAGAAGAAAACCACCATAATTATATAATTTTTCCCCTTATTGTTATGAAAATCTCCTTTTTAAGACCAAAATCCCGTACTTTTTTTTTCTGTGTTGCACACTTTTCTGAAACCCTAAATGTATGCAATATGTAATAAAATACCTGATTTTGACATTTGCATGCTTAACAATAAATACTAATCATTATAGAAAATGTCTGGCCAGTTCCAAAATACACTCCTGTGTATGGGAGTGGATAAATGCACCAGGCAATGATTCAGAGTTCCAAAGAATATAAATCAGTGCAATATATATATAAAGGCATTTTGTGATACGTGGATGTAAGTCTATTCACAGGCTGGGAATGCTTATATCTTTTTAATGTACACTGACTTATTACATCTATAATTTAAAAGGTTTTCTGATAAAGGTTTGAATGTTCCTGCAGCAAAATCCAATAATCCTTTTCATTTCAATACCATGCAAAGCCAAACTTATTTTAAGCTTTTTTATTTTTAAAAAGGGAGAGTGTTGGTGAATAAATATTACATTGGTGTTGAGCATTTACGTTACTTTTGATATATCTGTTTGATATTATTAAACTTTTCAGATGTTGATATTACTGAATGATGGAATATATAAAAAGCATGGGTTAAAATGTAATCTACTGCATTATTAGAAAGAATTAAAGTAGAGGCTATATTTTACAGTGTCGTCTTTCAAATCTAGCCATGCTGTAAACTGATGTTTGCTGTATGCTCCTCCTGATTTGAAATAGATGAAAGAGAATGAACCTTTAATCACCATGGTTCACACTATGATTGAGAACTCGGCGCTAAGACCGCAACTGTACCATCAAGTAAGGTCTTGGATAGTGAATGAAATTGCTTTATCATCTGCGAAAACTTTCCTTAGTGACAGTTTTGGTTGTCCCTCAGATTTATTCATAACATCGGTGTTTCTCTTCTTTGCTTTGGAAACCCACAAGTCATCCATGCTTCCCGAAGCGCTGCAGTCTCGTTAGCATGGCTTCTGCTGCGTTTTTTTTGTTGTTTACTATTAAATGTACACTCTTGAATAACTTCTCTCTGTCTAGACGATTTAATTAGTTGGTGCTTTATGCAGGTGTCCAGTAAATTCATGAAACTTCCAATGAGCTTCCAACATTTGTCTTAGCATGATTCTCTGCAATTAGTGTTCAAAGGTGCTTCTTTCTTTTGACCACTACAAAAGCATGTGAGCGGTGTTTACCTGGTCATTTCTGGCAATTTTGTTTCATTCTAGGAAGTGGATTTACAAGTTTTTGTTTGCACCTACCCAGCCTTTAGCCACTGAAGAAAGAAAGGATCAAAATTACTTTGATCTGGGGCCTGTAAATCCAAAAGGCAGTGTCTGTTCATAAAGTCACAGCAGACTTTACTGTGCACTCTTACAGAGTGTCTAGTGCTGGTTGGCAATGGTAAGATGGAAGAAGAATCAGAAATGTGAATGGAAATATTGTCTGGGAGTTGAGACCTGCACTAACTTATGAGCATGGCCAATCCCTCTCCCTTGGCACAGCAGTGTCTTACGGGTGCTGGGGCTGAACTGAACAGCCCCTCTCATGTCAGGGGGTGCTTTAGAAGTTTCTTGCCTCAGCTACAATGAAGGTGTTGTTCTCACAAGGGAATATCTGGCCAGTTCCCTTGCATCTACATTTATGCCCTTGTGAGCCAAAATTATACATAAAGGTTGCACAGTTTGAAGAAAAAGAGATGTTCTGCCATGTAAAACAGATCTTTATTACTGCCATGTTTTTAAAAAATGCTGCAACTTAATCCATTTCATCCCATTCAATCCAGTTTCGTTTTTTTTAAAGTCAACTCCACATCGTAAGTTTGCTTCTGATCCAGAAACGTTGCCAAAAAAAATCTCAGCTTTCCAAAGGAAGTTGGGTTGTGAGTGACTGATTTCATGACTGTCAGATTTGTGCTCCTACATGGAAGGCAGGACCTTTAACTTGGAACCTGGAGGAACTATTTGGAGGGGAATGAGAGAAGTAATGTGCCCTGGAGCCCTAAATGAAATTTTAGGCATTTGTTGTAATTTTCTTAAGAAGCCCGACTGTTAGAATTTTTTTAAAGCAAGTCAGTTTCGTGTGATAGAGTAGGTAAGACAAATAAATCAATGGGTGTATAATGAGCAGAGGTGTTTTAAATGTGTCAGGGGAAACTAGCCCAAGCTTCTAATATTAAATAGACATATTTAAGGTATAGCTGTGCCTGGGCTAATCTGCTCCTGCCTTTGGGGATACCAGTAAATTCCCAAGTGCTGGCCTGGCCAAGCTCTGCTGCCAGCTGCAGTATCTGCCTTCACCTTGTAGGCACATCTGGCACTGAATAAACACCTTTTTTGACATTCTTGTCAGAGAAGCAGTGACTAACTGAGTAACCTGTTGCCACTGGAGATGTGGTCTCTTGAGGTCAGAGGGCTTGTGACATGCTGAAGGCTTCTGCAGAAGCTGCCTTAGCTGAAGAGTCACATCTGCTTCCACGGATAAAGTTTCCTGTGTGAGATGTTGCTTTAACTAACTTTCAGGAGAGGTTAAAAATACACTCTAAATTTCACTGCCTAAATAGTCTGCTAAACTTTTGTAATGCAAAACCAACCCATTGAAAATTCTGGCAACTTTATTTCAAGTCTAAACAATGTATAATTTCTTATTCAAATGAAATAATTTGGTTTAACAGTCATCTTTCCTGCTGCAGTTTTAAAAACCCGTAAATAATTGGGAAAAGTCTCTGTGCAAGTGACTGAAACTCATTTTTTGTCAGGATGCTAAAATAGTTTGTGATGACTGCAACCATTCCTGTGGATAAAGAAAAGGATCTTTCTCAGCTTCAGTTTATTCAGTTCAGTTTTAGGTCTGAGCTCATTTACAGTTAAGCAAAGGAAAGCAAGAAAAGTTTGTATTTAATTTGTCTTGCTTGCTTTTTGTAATGATTAATATTCTTTAGTAAAACAGCAAAAACATCTACTGTTTCAAATGTGTTATTTATAAGTCACTTTTGCTTGTGATTTGTTACATCTTCAGAGTTATTTAAGTCATTTGACTTACATCCGTCTGCTCTGCAGACTGTTCTATAAATTCACAAGTACAGGCCATGGAAATTATTCCATATGTACAGACAAGAAAAAAGGGGTTTTTACAGACTAGACTCATTTCTACCTTGGTTTGGGGTTTTTTGCTTCTTTCTAATACTAGATGAGAAGTGTTAATCTTGTTCTCCGGTCTTTTTCTCTAAAGCAGTACAGGCTGACTTCAAAAAGCAAAATTTTCCTCAGTTCCTCTTATTTGTGTGAGTTCTCTTAAGGATGAAGAATTAAAATCTGAGTGCAACAAGCTAACATCCAGGTCTTGCCATGGATAGTTGTTCTTAATACATTAAAACCACAGGAAAATAGCCCTTAAGTTTTTTTGTTCCTGTGAAGATAGAGAGGTTTTGGTTTTGCCTTGTTATTATTGTTACAGGAGCTGCATATATTTAAACTGTTATGCATGTTAGATTTTGAAATATTTCAGGTTTTGTTATGAATACAGGGTGATGGTGTTTGATCTGAAAGTCTTTTCAGTTTATATTTGAAGTCAAAATTAGAGGAGAACCTTAATTGGGCTAAATGCCCATTTGCTTCCTGATAGCAAGATGTATTTTAAAAAGCAAGAAGTAAACAAAAGAGCCTCTGGGAAGTTTTGGTTTTAATCTTGTGCTGAACAACGAAATGTCCTTGGTTGTCCTGCTTTAATTTCCTAAGTGCAACATCCTGCAGAGGTGCATAGCATGTTTTTGGGGTGTGAAACATCCTCCTAGAAATTTATTGAATCAAAACAGTTGGTGTAATCTGAAAATGGCTTAGAAAGTAATGAAATAAGTCTGTCACTTCAATGTTTTTAATATCAACTATTTAAATAGTTCAACCACTTGTGTCCCAGGGTGTCCAGCACAGGGGATGTCTCCCTTTCTGGGAATCATCCGGTGCTGTGTGTGACTGTACAGCTGATGACAAATGATCCCTAAGATAAGAGGGAGGTTCAGTCAAGGTCATTTTGCTTTTTCACACACGAGATACACGTCTGGCCAAACCCTGCATGTGCAGCTTGCCTTTGAAAAATGGAAAGCTCCATTTGTAGCTCTCAGGGCGCTGCTCCCTCGTGACTGGGAGGTTTTTGGTGTTAAGAGGAGTGAATTTGGTGTGTTTGAGCAGGCAAATGTCGAAGGAGAGGGACCAGCAGCAGCTCCTGTCACTGGTTCAGTAGATGGCACTCTTGCTCTGGAGTTCCTGCCCTGCCTGAGGCTTTGCAGGAGTGATTTGGCAAAGTACATTTTGATAACTTGGTCATTGGAGTTCTTATAATACATTTTCGACCTTGCCTGAGATGTGCAATTCTGTTTTGTCTGCCCGTGTCTCTCCAGCAGGACACGACAGCGTTCCGCGCCTCCTGCCTCCAGCTGATGGGCTGTGAGCAGTGGAGCTGCTGTTTTGTCAGGGATGGATTAAGTTATTCCTATTATTTGGGGTGTTTTTCTGCTAAGCCTGTGCAAAATGTTGCAATGGAAATGTTAGAATGAGGTGGCTCTCCCTCCAGCAGTGCTTCTTGTGTGGAGCTGGCGCTGCTTGACCAAAGCAAGAAGTCGGTAGCAATTTGAAAAGTGTGATAGGATTTTAATAAGAACAATTAGCACAGCTGTAGTGTTCTTTGAAAAGCCTTTCCTTTTCTGAATACTTAAAAATGTCTTAATAATTAAATTGTTTTAATAATTAAAATGTATTCCTTTCAGGAGGTACAGAGGGGGTAGGGATGCTGATTCGGCAAACTGTTTTAAACACAGCTAAAACTAACGTTGAAATGACCAAAAAATGTCTTTCTTTTTTAAAAAGTATAAAAAATACTGGCTTGAAAAAGCAATATATTTTTCCAGCCAAGCCACATAAAATGCTGAGTAGTGACTTGGAAATGTGTATTTATCTAATAGGGGATAATATTCCTTCTGTAAAATCTTCCTGTTGTGAAATATAACTAGGTTTCCTCTGTAATTTAAAGACTTTTGGCCATGTTTATGAGTTTTATTTAAATATTTCCATTCCTCACTTTTCTCTCATTGTGATAAAATCAACAGTAAAACAACACAGCTCTATGATAGTGGGAGTTTAAATAGCTATCTGAATTTGTGTGACATTCATGAGGTGCAAAAGTGCTGTGGCTTTTTTCATCTTCCAGCATTCATTTTCATGAAATGTCCATTTCAAAGAAAGTTATTCTGTGTTTTTAATACACTATTCATACTTCTAAATTGTCACCAGGTACATTTGCATGAGGTATGTGGACATAATATCGTGAAATGAAACACTTAAGTGTGTTGAAAAATTATTTTATGTTTGGAATGCTTGTCTCATGAACCCTTCCCTAGTCCTTTTGTTTATAAGTGTCCCTTAACATGGATTTGTGATTCAGTAGTCTTCCTTGTACTATTAAGTCAAAATAACCTAATTCTGACAGACACATGGAAGGAAAGAGTCTCTGTTGGGACTCAGTGCACACTATGTTTTTTAATTAAATAGAATATGAAGGTTGATACTGTTATGTCCTTCCTTGCTGTATAGGATATTAAGTAGTTACTGTGTGTGACAATTCACTCTAAAATGGGGAGCTGCCTTTTTCCTTGTAAAATATTTTAAAATCTTGGTCCTGGTCAGTAACAGATTGAAAAAGTTAAGAACTTAATGTGAGGAACTGTATGAAAGTAGTTTGAGGTACTTTGCATCCTGACTAGCGCAAGGAGATGAGTTTGCCTAAGATAAAATAGAAGAGCTTCCATTTGTGGCATTTCTGGTGATGCTCTGTTGGAGGGGAGGAAATCCTATGAAAAGTAGGAAACCCATATGAAAAATCCATATGAATAGTGGTGGCACTTACTGGATGTATCTCTAATAAGATATTTACGTATATGTTGTAAACTTAGGTCATTTTGCTCTAGTTTAGGCTTCACATCAGATCACCCTGCTTGTGAAACACCCGACCTCAGTGGGCCTAGAATGGTTAATTCAGAGTAGAATGAGCCCCTCTATTTAGAATTCATATAACAGAACTTAGGCACAATGATGCATCTTTATTTAGATGTACTCCGGCAATTTCATCTCCTGCCATAATCCATGTTTGATTGAGTTGTACATCTTTGAAACTCCAGTTTGCATTAGAAACAGCCTGTTAATTTAATGCAACTCTACTGACAGTCTGCTTGACATTCCATTTAGTTACCCTCGTTAATGTATATTGGCTAAATATGTATTGTTCAATGTGGCAGGTTTAACTTTCAAGCAAAAGCTGATTTCTGTGTTAAAACTCTTAAGCTGAACAGTAGTTTTCATTTTCACTGTCCAACTAAGTTGTTTTAAGGCAATGTTATTCTTCCTTATAGTTAACACAAGAAGAATGTAGGGGTACACTATACAAATATAGAACTGAAGAGCTGGACATTGATGTAAGTCATTTCTATTCCTTCTTCCTTGTAAGTGTTGGTATTTGTCTCTTCCTTTTGATAATAATTTTCCTCTTGGCTTTTGGCTTTGAAACCCACTTCGTACAGGTGATTGCCAGCAGAAATTGCATCATGATACAGAGGGACATGCCTATGTAATAAGCTTCTAACTTGCAGGAAATATTACATTTTAGGCTGAAATTTTAACTATTTGATACAATCACCTGAGAAGCCATGGGACAGACTGTGAATGTATAAAATCACCTTTGTAATACTAAGCAATATGTAAATTAAAATGGAATAATACCTATTATTAAGTTGTAAAGATTTAGCTGTAGAATCATTAATTATATGTTTTGAGCCATGCTGCTTCAAGTTATAATAGCACTTCATAGTTTCTTAGGAGGATTTATTAATTAATTTGAAAATGCAAGACTGATACCTACATAATTTTAGAATTCTTATTTTAATATTTTTCTGTAGATTCGTGTAATGATTGGATCGAGTTAGATTTTGATTACTGAAGTTGCAAATCCCAAAATGCTAATTGTGGTCATTTTCTGTTCTATACCAGGCTAAGCTTAGCCGTTTATGTGAACAGGATAAAGTCGTGCAAGCACTGGAGGAGAAGCTCCAACAGCTACACAAGGAGAAAGTAGGACAATTGTATTTATTACCTAAAGTGGATGTTATTTTACATGCTTACTATCAGAACACTGATAGCTGAAATAAAACGAAAATCAGCCCAATGATGCAGCGCGTTAAAAATAATTCTTTTTATTACAATAGTACACGCTTGAGCAAGCTTTGCTATCAGCAAGCCAGGAGATAGAAATGAATGCAGATAACCCAGCAGCCATCCAGAATGTTGTCCTACAGAGAGATGACTTGCAGAACGGGCTGCTCAGCACTTGTCGGGAGGTGTCCCGAGCCACTGCAGTAAGTACCACGTTCTTTCCAGGAAAACTTCATCAACTGTGAAATCATTGTGTTCTTACTCCTAATTGCATTGGTTTTGCTTGTTTTTTTTTTTATTACTGCATCCCAGCAAAAACTCTGTTGTCTTTTAGTTGTTTGTGTTTTTGTCAAAGGTGGATGGAAGGTGATGTTTTCACTGTATTCATCGAGTGGTCTTTCTCTAATTGTACTTTTTTTTTTGACCAGGAATGGGTGCATACTGTCTTAATTGGTGTGGCAGTTATCATCTTTGAAATGTGAGAAATTGATAACAGAAGAAGTGAATAATGCAAATAAGCTATTTCATGTGATGGCAAAATAATGTCAAGCACAACCTTTATTCTACTTACTTTAAGCAAAAGCAGCTGCAGGACTGCCATAGTCTGTCTCTAATATTGGACCATTACATTTAAAAGATCTTTCAAATTACACACTGCCAAAAGTTTTTTAAAAGAAAAGGGGATAGGAAGGAAATTGCTGTTTACTGTCCTTTTCTACTTCATGATGACAATGAATCATTTTTGCCTGCTTAGATATTTCCAAAAAGGTGTCAGATTCCAGGGGGTAGCTGTGGTAGGAACTGACATGATGTCAGCCCTGAAATCTTGGTTGTAGTCTGAATGTTGGATTGCCTTGGAGCAGGAATTGGTTGGACACAGCAAAGGGAACCAGGGGAAAGGAAATCCTCCAGACACACATTCCCTCATTAACTTTTCAATTTATTCGAAATGAGTAAATTGCTTGATGTAGGCTGCAAAAGTGAGATGGTGGGGCTGACCTCAAAGAAGAATAATTTTTTTCCTTGTGGAGTTTGCAGCTGCACGTGTGTAGAATAGTGGTGTGTAGGCAGCCTTGCAGGCAGGGCTGGATGAGTTGGATTTCCCCTGCATAATGCACTGCAATACACACATGCTGTGCACTCACACATGTGCATTCAGGGTGATAAAAGACAGAAATTTGCATCCATTTTTGTGGCTTTTCTGCCTCGCTGGCAAGACAGCTTAAGATCAACATGCCTGCTGACTATAAAGGCGTTTTCTGAAGAATTTTCCCTGGCCTATCTTTTTTGTTAGTGAAAAGACAAAATGCTATTTGTTTGAATTTCATTCAGTATAATCAGAAAATCAAAAAGCTGTTTAAACATTGCATTCTCTTAATTATTTATTAAATATTACAAATATTTATTTATTGCGGGTATCTATTTATGTCTTACTTCCTGAATTTTCATACCACGGGGAAAAAAAAAAAAAAAAAATGTTTGTTTGTGTTTTTTTTTTATTGAACCTGCATCTGTAATTCTTTACATTTCTTATATACTTAGGAACTGGAAAGAGCTTGGAGAGAATATGATAAATTGGAGTATGATGTAACTATAACAAGGAACCACATGCAAGAGCAGCTCGATCGGCTTGGAGAAATCCAGGTGTGGCAAAGATACTAAAGTACACTCAATTCACTTGGACTTTCTATGAATTTTAAAACTGTACAAATGAAAAAAGGGGGACAAACGGTGAACTAACTTACAAGCTTTTAATTTCTTTTTCTGCCTTGTAAGTTCTGAAGAAGTCTTCAGATTTTTTTTTTTTTTAACATGGTAACGCTGATATTCCTTTGGGAGTTTTCTTTATTTTGTTTCAGTGAGCAGGTTTGAAATGGAGTGGCTTTCTCAGACCTTAGTTGCTCTGACAGCCATAATACATCTTCACACAAATCCTTCCATTTAACTGAATATTTTAAAATTAAATCATTTTATCATAAATTATTACAGGAAATGCTGTAGGTGTTGCTTCAGGCCTTACAAACAAAGGGTTCTGCTGTGTATTTTGATGATCAGGAATGGGTGCTGAATTCCTAAGGAGGGCTCTCTGTGACACTCACAGAGATAAGGACATGCAGGAGTGCACAGATTATCTGGGATGGGCCCATGGGTGTGCTTTGCACTACAGGTTCTGTGCTCCAGGGGTGGATTTCCTATGCAGCTACAAAAGAGATTACAAAGAAGCCCAAAATCTGTAAAACTTGCACTATTGGTGCACAGTATGCATGTCCATGAATGGAAATAGATTTATATCCTGGCATGCAAACACTGTTCCTCTCCACCTGTGTTGGGGTAGGAAGTGATGGTTCCTTTTCCATGGCTGGATGTGGGTCTCCTGTGCAAAGGCTGCCTGGATTTTCTGTGGAGACCATAGATGAGGCTCTGTTCTTGAAGTTTGAATTAGCAGATTGCTCTCAAATTGAGTGAGGCATTATGAAATGAGTCAATATTTTGCTTTTTGTTCCAGACACTATTTGAATGCTTTATGGGAGAGAGTCTATCATTACTGCATTTTATTTTCCTTCACTCTGAAAGGACATGCAGTGTAGTCCAAAGAGAGAGAAAGGTTTTCCCTTTTTTTTCTACTTGCAATGTGTTCTAATGTACTGGCCATATATGCTGGTTTTTTGCTGACAGACTGAATCAGCAGGGATACAGCGTGCTCAGATTCAGAAGGAACTGTGGAGAATTCAGGATGTCATGGAGGGTTTACTTAAACATAAACAGCAAAGAAGCTCTTCTGAGGCAGGTAAGCAATAGGAAATGAAATTGGATCATATAATTTTTTTAAATATAAGCTCCGTCATTGCTTTTGTATTTGAAAAAATTGTATTTGTATTTGAAAAGATGGCACAATGCCCAAGAAAAGAACAAAACAAATGCTACTTTAAGTTGATGGTTAATAGCAACAGGTTAGAGTTCATATTTTAAATTGAAAACTGTTTTTCTCTTTTTTCTCCCCCACACCTTCCCCCCTTCCCCAAACAGGCATCATGATATCAAGGACATTTTCTTCTATTAAATATAAAAATGAGGTATGGTTTTAGCATATTTACTATTTTAGTATTATGGACGTTGTAATATGGCTATGATAAAAACCAGCGTTATCGTGATTATTTTAAGGATGTCTGAAGGATGTATTCAGTATGTTTCTGTAACAACACAATAGTATGAACTAGTTTTAAAAACTGCAATCTCCACTGGTAATTCTAACACTCATTTGTACTGTGTCTCTGTATTCTCACTGGTATGTTTCTCTTTTCCATTTCTTACCTTTTCCTCTCCCTAGGCTCCTAACATAGAAATATAAACCCTGATTTTTGGATATGTTTTCTACCCACCATACTTTTCATGGGAAGAAATACACTGCTTTATATGTTTATTCAGATATTGAGCCTGGTTCTCAGATGGCCAGAGCACCCACAAGAAGAGCTGAGACTGTGGGAGCTCCCAAATGTTCAGTTCCTCTGAAAATCTGGCTAGAAGTTACAGTTTTAAAGGGACATTGTCACGGATATCAAAAGTGTGTACAATATACATCTGGCTTACAGAACTTTCTAAAATCTCATTTATGTAAAAATCTTCCAAAAGATAATGGATTTAATTTTTAAAAGTACAATTTAGCGAGTTTGTATGTGTCCGACAGAAAGCGCAGGGGTCAGATTTATTTTTTTCCCTTTTTGTTAAATGTGACATTGTCCCTTTAACTGCAAAATCTATAGCTGCTGTAGCCATGGTAATATATTTTTCTTTTTAAGTTATAAATAACTGTACCAGGTGCGCACGTCTAAATAAGGTGACTATTCTACAATCTTTAGGAAGAGGAAGTAGTCCCACCTCGTCCTCCACTCCCTCGGTCCTATGACTTTACAGAGCATCCTCCCATAATCCCCCCTCTGCCCAGTGATAGCAGCTCCTTGCTCTGTTATAGCAGGGGCCCAGTACATCTGACAGAAGAAAAGAAGATGTACCAAGTTCAAGGATATCAGAGAAATGGATCTTACTGTGTAAGTGGCTTAAACTGCCACGTTGTTCTTGAAGCATCCTCCCTCCTTTGCACAGTCACCATTTTTGTTTACTCATCTGGCTGCTTTTGTGTTATGGTTTCACTTTTATTTGGTTTTGTTTATAGCTGCGTCATTTGCTCTTCACATTTTCCTATCAAGTGTTCTGTGTGTATATTAAATGTCTTAAGACTTAAATTTCATAAACTTAGATCCTTCGCCTCACTAGTTCTTTAAAAAACTCTGGGCTCAGCTTTTGAGGCTTATACCAATTTGTTTCCAGAAGATCATTAAAAAAAAAACCCCACAACTCTGCCTTTTTATGGCATTTTTTTCCTGTAATTTCTGATTGTCTGCAAATGTTGTTACTCAAATTAACTACCAGAAAACACTTCTGCTATAGTGCTTGAAGGATGGAACACTGTCTTCAAGTGAGAGCAGAGTTATCATAAAAGAATTGGTTTGAGTCTTAAGACACAGATACTTGCAGCAAAGTGCCTGTTTATTTACCTCATCCCTTGATGTTCCTCAGGGTCCTGATTATAGGCTTTATAAGAGTGAACCCGAATTAACTACAGTAGCAGAAGTGGATGAGTCTAATGGTGAAGAAAAAACAGAACCAGTTTCAGAATCAGAATCTTCTGCTAAAGGTTTGTCCCTAGGCATGGTGTTTGCAACCTTTCAGCTTTCTCACAAGGAATGCAGAGCTCCACTGCCTCATGTTTGTGCCTTTGCAGCCGGTCCATTTCTCAATTTGATGGAACAGCTTCCACAATAAAATAATGATTTAATTATATGACGGGAGAAATCTCAGTCGATTACAGCGCAGAAAAATCAAACATTACACTCACCAACAGCCCTGAAATCCTTATTGACACCATGTCTAATCACATCACTCACATTCCCCACACACCATTCCCTTGAACAATTACCCATTTTATGTTCTTGCCCTTGAACAATTACTCAGTTTTTGAATCAAGCTCCCCGTGTTATGTTGCTGGAACGTCCAAAAAGGCAGCACCACAGAATTTTCAGGCTCTCATAAGGCAGGGGAACAATGTCTTTTTCTTTTTTTTAATCTTGTAATTGTTGAATTGCCTTCTGTCCTCTGATATAATAGGAATAATGATCATGACCTTGGAGTGTACAGACAATAAAGGTCTTTGCAATTGCTAAATGCTTTAGATTCTTCTCTTCATCTAGCTCCCATAAAAGCTACTAATTGCTTGGTAGAGTCTTTTACCAGGAAGTGCTTCTCAATTCTGTTTGTTAAAACACACAGAATAGTTTGTTAAAGATGACTTCAGGAAAATGCTCAGCTTTAGCACCTCCCAAAAACCCCGTTAAGAGCTTTGAGGAAAACTACCTAAACTTAGCTATTTTCTTTTTACCCTAAAGATTGATGTTGCCAATGCCAGCAGGATCACTGCTTTCTTTTGGTGCTTTGACTGAGCATTTACAGAGCAGGCTGATGCAATGGTAACAGAATTTTACCAAGAATTATGATTATACAAAGATACTGTTTTCATCAGAATGGTCACATAGGTTTTTAAAACTCAGGTTACCATACAGTTTGGGTATAAACTATGTGAATGGCCCTGTGATATAATTAAGCTTGCACTTACCACACAATTTGTCAATTCAGATTCTCTGGGGTATTTACTGAGATACAATGTTAAGGCACATAATTAAATTTCTGTTAATTTGGTGGCAGAAAATGGAATATTTATCCTGAGATTTGCTAATTATCAGTGACCTAAATTGAGAAACTTGTCTTTCTGACAACATGCCTAGGTTTCATTGACCTGTGATGTTTCTGATTATTCACAGTAATTTATGTCAAGAGGTGAAGTAATGATAAAGACAAAATGAGAAAAATCTACACTGACTATGTAAAGAAACTCAACACTTTTTAAGCACTCTAATCTGCTTTCTGTCTCAGAGACAGAAATTATTTTATTCTGCCCATTTGTAGAAAAACAGTCCTCAGTCAGGGAAAGCAATAGTGCAAATTGCTCTAAGATAAATAATATTTAGAGGTGTAGAACAGAATAACTGCAGCGAGAGGCTCTGTATATTCTAAAACTCCTTTCAGTGTGTTGTTTATCATAGCTGTGTTTTATCATGTGAGCATATGAATTTTCTAACAGACATTTCTTGTTCTGGGCATTCACTCATAATAACAATCCCAGTGCAGGAGGGAGATGTAACCATGTCTGATTGTTTCAGTTCTGTTATAGTGTGTAAGGCATGAGAGGAAACATTTTTATGCCATTCTGTCTTAAGTTTTTAAGCTGATGAGGAAGCAAACTGAAAGGCAGCTCATCTGAGTTTTTTCTACCTTGCTGTTTTAAGAAGTCATATTTCAATGATGGAGATTTCTTATTGAGGGTTGTTCTAAAAATAAATAATTTCAGAGGAAATTTTAAAAAGTTACAGTACTGAATACTGCTCATGCCAGCCATTTCCCTCTCTTGTCAAACATCAGCAGTTAAAGAGAAATGGGACCATGTCAAATGTGAGAGCAGAGGAATATTTGTGACCCGTGTGGTACATAAAGGTGACGCAAAAACAAAATGGAATTCTGCTGTGTTTTATCATTTTTTATGTCTAAAGGAGACCCAAACTGCTGCCTCATAGCAGAATATCCTCAGCTCCTGTTTTCACTCACCAGCTGAGCAGGCTCAGGGCTGATTACATTCGCACACAGACGTGAGCATGGATGTGCACACGCAAATGAGGCCATCCAAGAGCTGGCTGGACTTTCAATATCTGCACCCATCAACTCTCAGCACCACTTTCTGAATCTGCCTTTTGGAAAAGAGTTCCCAAGGCTGACAGTGTCTCTTGTCTAGAAAACAAATCAGCAGTTTTGTCAGTGCTTTGCACAGCACTCAGTATGTTGCTTTGCTGTTTTGCAGGCTCACATTTCCCTGTGGGAGTTGTACCACCCAGAACCAAATCCCCAACACCAGAGTCCTCAACAATAGCATCCTATGTCACTTTGAGGAAGAATAAGAAGATAGATCTAAGAACGGTACTTTAAAATGACATTTGAGCATTGGATGTGTTCATTTTTAAGTTTGGTAGTTACTCCAAAAGTTGAAGTTATTTTCATGATCTTTACAAAAAATTATAATGAAATAAATAAATAAAAATTACTGTTACAGAAGCATTATATACTAGATTAAGCAACTATATAGTTAATTAATTATGCTAGTTGGATTCTTTTGGGGTTTTTTTTGCGTGGGTCAGGGTTGGGTATGAAAGCACTTGAGATGGTATTTTATGTTCAGGCTCAGATGTTTATTATTTCTTATCTATATTGCAATCTTACAGTCTGTGAGTTCTACAACATTTTACTAATCAAACTACAAAATGGCTCTGTATTTATCTCTACAAAGTCTTTAAAATAAGAACTATTTAATATAAGAAATGACACTTAAATTATTTTTACTTTTAACTCAGTAGCTAATCGCTTGTGTCCCACAGCGCAGACTTTTCTGTCTAATTGCAAAATCCCACTCAAACCCATGAAGAAAAAAGTAAAGAAGAAGGTGAACAAAAAAGACTGAATAATACCTTAAAACTTCTATCCTCAGCTTTATATATATTACTGTATTCTAAAACTTTAAACTCTACATTTTCCACTATATCATATTACACACTTCGATTTAAACTACACATTTGTAACCTCAGTTCTATCATTCAATTTTAGAAACTTTCTCTACAACCTCAAGTCAAATGCAGTGACCTTTTTCTTAAAGGTCTATATTTAAGAACACAAGAAGTCTAAAATTCTGAACGTCCAAAATTATAACAGAGACAGTTATAGAAAGAATAATAAAATTATAGATTAAACTGCATGGAGACCCTCAAACTGGGCAAGAGCTAAATGGTAAATGATAAATCTGCTGATCTCCTGAGGTTCAGGCTTGAGTTGAAAGCACGTGAAGCATCTTTCAAACACTTGTGTTTGGCAGTTGAACAGCCCCTTTAAAACAAACACAGGCTTTTATTTATTTCAATGCTAAAACCATTTGGGAAATAGCAGCCACAAAATAAGGATGTAATAAGCAGTATGCAGGTAGTAAGCCCAAAATTTCAGATTGGTCAGCTCTGTAGTCTCTGGGTTAAAGACACACTTTTACATGTAGTTCATGCAAAAGAGAGGAAAACTTTTGCCATAGTTGCGGCACAAATAGAGGAGAAGTTGTGAGAAGCCTGGGAGAGGAGAGAGAAACTCCCAGGATGTTGACTGGAGAAAGAATACCACTTTTCATAATTGAAATAAATTCCTGGAAATGTACTGAATGCAGCTGATTAGCTTGAAGTCATTTTTATCTGTCATAAAAAGTACAAATCTGCCTGAAAACCAGTGAATTTCAAGAAGAGAGTAGGTAAATGGGTGTTATTTTGGGAAAAATATAATGCTTATAATTACAGATTTTTAAGTGGTAATAAATTCGTTTCAGCCCACACTTGCAGTTAAATGATGCCCAGCTGTAGTTTTTCTTGAAATAAAAAGGCAGAAATTACTATTAGATCAACTGGTGTAAATGTCCTGGATCATTAAATTTCAATTATGTTTCTGTCTCAGTCAAATATCTTGTGTTTCCCAGTTTTATAATGTCTGGTAAATTGTTTCAGCTTGAGAGGGTGGCTTAGAGAGCATCTACCCATTCTCCTGATGTTTATTGTTGGTGATGGTAATGTTACTGTTCAGAAGAGCAATTTATTCCTTCCTTTTATTTTGAATTTTAGCATTCATTTATTGATAATTGGGTTTTGTACGTTTTTTTTTTTTCACATATATAGGAGGTCTTTATTTGCCTACTATTTTTCTGCTCTTTACTAAATCATTAGGTGATCTCTTCTGGTAAGTTACCAGTCTGAAATCTTTAGTTTTTGTTGAAACACATACATATACATATATATATATATATATATATATATATATATATATATATATATACACACACACACATATATATATATATATATATTTATATATTGGTTTTTTTTTTCCTCTTCCATTTAAGGAAAGACCAAGGAGTGCAGTGGAGCAGCTGTGCCTTGCAGAAGGCTCACGGCCTCGAATGACTGTGGAGGAACAGATGGAAAGAATAAAGAGGCACCAACAAGCTTGTCTGAGAGAGAAGAGGAAAGGACTCAATATTATTGGTGTTTCAGAGCAGCCTCCCTCCCAGAGCTTGTCCCATGTCAGGGATAATCCACTCAAGCTGGCACAGGTGAGTCCCACAGTGATCAAAGTGTGTCCAATTAAAAACCAAAGGGGTTGATTGGAGGCTAATTGTGGAGTCACAGACTCAAAAGGACAACCTTTGTGCTTACACCTAATGGTAGGAGCCACTTCTTTGCCTTTTTGGGAAACAAACAGTTCAAATCCACGTCCATTTGATTATGCACTCTGATGTTTGGGAACAGGGCAGGGTGTTTTGGTCAAATTTAGCAAACAAGGTGAAATTGTAAGGTTTGTGACTAAATACAAGATCAGGGAGAATCGTGACTCCATTGATGTTGAAATGGACTCAGTGCTGATTTTTCTGCCCTGTAATGTATTCCAGCATCTGCAACGTTTTTAGGTAGGAATGTATATTTATGATCAGAGCTCCTCAGTGGTGCTCTTCTGCTGTGGTGTTTGAGCCCATAAATACACTGAAATAGAGCCCATGCTTTTGTTTACACTCATTCTTAAACTTGTTTATTTGCCTAAAAAGTTTATTCATGGGTAAAGGATGGGGAGAGGAGAGGAAGATATAAGTGCTTGTCATTAGCCAGGAAATACTATTCTGAATATATATCTAAAAATGCCCCAAACAAACAAAACCCCAAAAGCCAAACTGAACCCAATTAGTTTTCTTTTCCAGTAGCTTAATGGACTTGATTTTTGGTTCGTGTTTGGTTTCTTTGGGTTTTTAATCTTCTGGAATACTTCTTTCTTCAGACCACACTGTTTACTGGCTTTTTTTATTATTTGCTTTTCTACTGGTACAGAAATGCCTTTTTTTGGGGTGGGTTTTTTTTTGGTTGGTTGGTTGGATTTGTTTTGTAGGCATTTAAACATCTGATTTTCCAAAAGCAGATTAAATATATTGCAGTGTCAGGAAATCAGGCATTTCCAGATTTTTCAGCTTTGCATATTGGGTTGGATTTTTCCCCTCTCAGCACAACAGGCTGCTACAGAGCTATACAAAAGTTACTTTTTCATCAAGAGCTTTGCATCCCCAGAAGACTCTGAATTCCAGTTTAGCCTTTGCAATAGAGCATCTGCATTTGGGCTGACATCAGGAATGCTATATGGGAAGGGAGTTCCTACAAATATTTCTGTGATTAACACAGCCTTTCTCGAGAAGACATCGTGACAAGCAAAGCTTTGCAGATGTTTTGTTCAGTAATTTTTACAAAAGAAAAGTTTAAGCTTTGCCTCTTCCCTGTGATAGAATTCCATACCTCAGGGTGAGTGGGGCAAAATCTGGGCCAGAACTCAGAGTAATTCTGTTCATTGCACCATGTTCCTCAGTCTTCTCTGAGAAATCAGGCCTCTCTGGATGGTAAGAAATTTATAGAGTAAATGGGAAGGTATCTGAATTGAATATTTAGCTAATAGTCCACTTTACAAAGTCACTTTTTCTATCATAACTTTAATTCTTCCAGAATGCTATTTGGCTGAAAGCCCCAGGATGAGGTATTATGCCGAGTAATAGCTTTTATTTCTAAAAGCATCGTTTTTATGTCTATTGATTTTTAGAAAAATGGTGCAGTGGCATTAACTGCTGGATGTCTTTTCGACTGTGGTTTGGTTATTTAAGAAAAGGATTTTATAAATGGCCTGCTGTGTAATTTTGAAGTGATTACCATAATCCAAAAGGAAGTTGCTTCACAACTGTTGTTGGGACGAGCAGATGATAAGGGGTGCATACTTCAGTTCAGGAGAGCAGAGACACTGATTTATGAGCTGACTTAGGGGGAATTTCCTCTTAATAGGGTGCATGTGTTAGATCACAGGAGTTCAGCTTTGAGATTTACTGCCTCCACGGCTTCTACTTTTCTCAGCTCCAGTTCTCAGCTGAGCCTCCCTTCAGGCCTGCTAATATCATGTTCACAGTTCACAATCTTAAGTCACCTCTACCATCCTTCCTCAAAATTTTCATATCAACTTCTTCTCTGCACGGTGGATTTTTTTTTTTTTTTTTTAAGAAATAATTAATATCCTCTGCCATTATCAGATACTGTGTTGTCCTCTATTAAATCAGTTCACACCACAGGCTTGGAGGATACCCAGGATAATTGGAGGAAGTGCATGCAGGTGCACTGAGAATTCTGTGCTGAGAGCAGATTTTTATCGATTTTTGTTCTTAAACCAGAAAAGGCTATTTTATAAAAAGAGCAGTGCTTATGAATGCAGGTAAGAATGCTGATTTGTGACTGAGCTAAATATGAATGAAATCTCAAAAGATAAGGGTGACATTGAAAGGCTGGAAAGGAAGGTGGGGCAGAAACTACAATAATCTTGCAGACAAAGAAATGTAGGCTGAACTGTTTTGAATGGTACAAAATTCAGAAAATTGTGAGTCCTTAATGATTTCCATTTACCTTATTGCAATCTACGCTTAAGGTTTATTCAAGTATTTTTTTATAATCAGTCAGAGGGCAGCAGAAGGCTCAGAACTGAGGCTGTGATAACTTTTGTAACAGTATGTCCATGTACCAATTTTGTTCCTCAGAATCGGAAAAAGGATGATACAGTATCTGCTAACATGAAGGAGTTAGAGAGCACCAGCAGAGAAAATAATTTGAAACAAAAAAATGGAAGTCCTGGAGAAGAAATAGCACAACTCAGAAATGATGGAGATCAAGAACATAATTCAAGTTTTGCTAAAGAGGTACAGAACTATTCCTTATTAAACTGTTCATCAGCTTGTCCTGCAGTAACAAACTATTTTGAGACACATGCCCCAGAGGATGGGAAAGTGAACCAGTTCCTTTTGCTTGGAAGATAAAGACTTCTTGTTGAAAATAAAATACTCCATAGAGAATCACAAAATTCAATAGCATCTGTCTATAGCTGAGACATTGAATTTTCTTGTGTGTGATCTTTAAATAAGAATAATAATTGACATATTCATTGCTTAGGCTACCCCAGTGGAAGTTTTGACAGCCTTTAATGTCCCTGAATTTTTGTTTGGTTGTCTGTACTGCATCAAATAGTTTATAGAAAGCAGAATAAAGCTGACACAACAAATTACACATGGAAGTAGGCAGTACCTGTACTTTTAGGTATTTTTCACTGCTTTGATTTCTGCTTTGAAATAGTTAGAAGCATTCTTGGCAGGGAACTACCTTGGTACTAAAGTGCCCTTAACACTCAGCAAAACCAGACTGACTGTAAGAATGGATTACTAGAGTTGCTTCTACATAATCATATCCTGTTTATGGTTTAATATTTTTTTAAAGTACTATGTAGAGGTTTTTTTGCATTCTTCTGTATCCATATTCCTCAGTTAATCATCCTTTTATTTAATCATCCTTTTGTTTTCCTATTTTATATTTAGTTTTTTAAATATATGTATCTGATGGAGAACAGTATAAAATCAAACAACTAATTTCTATTGTTATCCATTAGAAACACTTCTTTATTAAGAGACTGTTGCTTTGTTAAATATGCAAATATTTCAAAAGGAAAATTAAGTAATACACTCAAATTGTTTATATGCAATCAAACTTTAGGAGCAGCATTTAGTCTTATTAACAAAATATTGAAGCATCTGGAAATTTTTTTGGCATCGTGAAGAGAGGGATAGCATGAAAAAACAGGCAGGCTGCAATCCAAAGAGTTCAGATAAGTTCTGGAAGTTATTAAGGCAAACCCTGCCCCTGGCCTCTGGTATAAGTTTTAGGATAACTCTATTAACCTGCATGGTATTGATAAAAATTTCTTAAGTTATGTAATTCTGGGTTACTAAGTATACATGATGGCAAAATTTGTCTGTTAATAAAACTGCTTCCTGGTACTGTATTTCTTATCTGCCACTTAGTGTGTGTTACAGCTTTTTGTTTCATGATTTCAATTTTTTTATAGCTGTCAAAAACTGATGATCTTTTATCAGATGCACATGTTGTATCTGACTCAAAAGAAGGGGGTAATGAAGAGAAAGCAGAAAAGAAAAATAAATTGGAAGAAACACATGATGGTGATATAAGGTAAAAAACAAACAAGATGTTCAGAGGCTATTTTAAACTTGCATGCTGTATTTATTAGCTGAATGGACCAAGCAATTGCCATAAATACTGAAAAGGTTTATTTATATGGTTTTGAGAGGTTTACATATAGGAAAATCCAGTGAGAGGCTTGACTGCTGCAGGATTCAGTCAGAGTTGATGACTTGGTGGGTGAAGCAATGTTTATTTTCAAGTGTTGTCCCTGTTATAAACAGAATGCATTCATATTCCTTGTCTTGGCCTCCAAAATGTGTTTAATAATGCCAGTTCAAGCTTTGTATCAATTTATTATGAACACTCTAGCCAGTGCTTCCATAGCATGCTCTTTATTGCTGATTAATTTAGGAGCAAACAAAGCATCTTATTCTACATCTCCTGCTTTATTTTTTACCTCACTGCTTTGCAGCATTGCAGAATTAGAGGGATATTATATCTTGGATAGTTCTCTCACACAGTTCATAGCTTTGGTGTAAATTGCACTGCAGGTCCTAAGTGAGCTCTCACACTGGGTCATAACTTTGTCACAGGACCCTTCAGCAGTAGGAAACTGCAGGAATGCAGAAAGGAATTAAATCCCAGGTGCTTTTTAAAAAGTGTCACTACACAAAGTAGAAGGGCTTCAAAATGCCTGCTTAATTTATGCTACCCAGACTTGCAAGTTGCAACTTTTTTCTATTAACAGGATAAAATTAAATTATAGCTCCTATACTTAGTGGTTAACACCTGAAATTAAGTTAGAGTAGGTCCTAAATTCTGTGCTTCTTTTAATCAGCTTTCAGAGTGTGACCACAGTTGCAAACCACAAACCCAAAAGCAGCTCAGAAGAAAGTGAAATACTCAGTGTTCAAGAACAAGAAGGGATTGTGTCTTCATTTGAATTAGCAGCACAGTCTTCAAAAGGAAATCAGGCAGCAGCAGGTATGGAAAAGAGTTTGACAGAAGCACAACTTATCCACTACATATGTAAAACTTTATTGCATTTTGATTGTGTCTTTTGATGCTCTGAAACCCTTGTGAATTGAAAATGCTGAGCTAGTCTACATGTGAAGTGTACAGTTTTATAATGCACAGAAAAATAGTTTCCCAGTGGGCAGCTACAGAAACTCCATTTTTCTGAGGTTTTAATATAGCTTTTATAGTTGCTAATTCAGGGATTTAAATAACTGTTGCCAGAAATTGAGTCATACTGTAGTTGTTGGTTGGAGCAAATGCTTCCTTTTTCATCTCAGTCCTGGCTATGTGTAGACTTTTTACCATTACTCCCTGCTGCTGAGTGACCTTAGATATGCCCAGAGTTGTGGAATTATTGAGAGTTTCCAATGTTTTAAACTAGCAAGTATAAGAGCCCCGTTTGGCCACATTTTGAGGGGTAAGAAAGAAGAAGAAAACAGAAAACACCACCTGAGTGGTACAATGACTGATAGAGAGGACTATTTTGCAAGAAAAGAGTGGGATAAAGCAAAACTGTGTGCAAAGAAGGAAAAAAAAAAGGGGGGAAGGAAGAAGGGAGAAGATAAAATTCAAGACATTATTAGGATGGTTGCTGATGGGAATGGTTAAGTAAGCCAAATGGTTCAACTTATGGATATAAAAGGTGATCTGGACCTTTGTAGTGCAGTCAGCAATCCTTTCTGTGACTTGCTAATCAAAACCAGAACTTGCATGTACATTTTGCACTGCTCAGCAGAATGAAAGACCTTAGTTAATCTGAGCTGGGATATGAAGGTGGGTCTGGGCCTATCCCAACTGCTTAAATTTTACTTTTTTTTTCCCCCTCTCTTTCTTGGCAACATAAAACATCAGCATTCCTGTGTTTGCTGTTCTACTATTTATTTCTAAACCTGATTAAGGATCAGCTATGATCTTCCTTGAAGCTGTGCTTTTTGTGCTGATCTGATTTTAAGCCTTTACTTGTGTAGCTTTCATTTGTTTCTGCTTATATTTGCTGTGGCTTGAAATGGTGCTTTTTCAAGCTAATCTTTATTATGGCTCCTGTAACTTGTATTCTTATTTCTTTTGCTGTATGACTCGCAGTGAAAAGTTTGCCTTCCTCACCAGAGTCGTCCTTGTCACCAGCTCCATCCACACAGACACAGCTCACAGAAGGATCCCATTTCATGTGTGTATAGTTACAGAGAAGTACGTGCTTTCTTTCCCACCTCTCCCCTTCCTAATATTCTTCCAGGTTGTTTGTGTGCTGTTATTTTTGTGAGAAACATCTGATACTCAGCAAGACAGAGTTACCTGCAGTGTTGAATATAAATTAGCCAGAACACAAATAAATTTGTGCATTGATTTGCTTGCAAGGAGTGCATTCTCTGTCCAGCTACAAAGAGAAAGGGCTAATTGGTTTTTCAAGGGCTAATTGGTTTATCAAGCATGTTCTTCACAACTGGCAGGGTAATAGCCCTTGGAATTAACAGCCTGAGCTGTTCCAAAACAGGGAGTTAAGGCATGAGCATCACTGCACAGGTGCAGATGAGTCCTGATGCTTCAGCCATGGGCAAAATGGGCAACCAGAGCTCAGTGGTGCACAGGAGGGAATGGGCTAATGGCCTGAAGAATTCATAGCTTAAGACATAGAAACAAACAGTTAAAATCTTTTTCCTTCCTTCCTTCCTTCCTTCCTTCCTTCCTTCCTTCCTTCCTTCCTTCCTTCCTTCCTTCCTTCCTTCCTTCCTTCCTTCCTTCCTTCCTTCCTTCCTTCCTTCCTTCCTTCCTTCCTTCCTTCCTTCCTTCCTTCCTTCCTTCCTTCCTCCCTTCCTCCCTTCCTCCCTTCCTCCCTTCCTCCCTTCCTCCCTTCCTCCCTTCCTCCCTTCCTTCCTTCCTTCCTTCCTTCCTTCCTCCCTTCCTCCCTTCCTCCCTTCCTCCCTTCCTCCCTTCCTCCCTTCCTCCCTTTCTCTCTTTCTTCCTTCCTTCCTTCCTCCCTTTCTCTCTTTCTTTCTTCCTTTCTTCTTTTCTTCCTTCCTTCCTTCTTCCATGTTAAAAGCCATAGCAAATGTAACTTGAGAAAGCTTTAAAATCAAGAACAGTTTAAAACTGAGATATTTTCAGTCATTTAGCACGAGGAGATGTGAAAATGCATTTTTTTTTAATTTACTGTCTCAGTCTCAATTGCCAAGGTTTCATTTTAGCAAAATTAGACTTATTAGTCATCACAGAGACCTTTCTAATAGGAGCTAAGGGCAATAAATTATTTATACTCCTTTAAAAGAAAAAAAAAAAAAAAAGGAAAATTATTAATATATTATTAAAATATTTTCTCATTTTGAGAAAGTGGGAAATGCCATCTTCACATTCAGTCCTGACACTGCTCCTGCCTTCCTGATGGGTGTGGTCTGCCATGATTAGATTTAGCTTGAATTTTTTTACTTTTATTCAAAATGTTTATTTCAGAACTATTTTCATAAAACTGAGTGGGACTTTCCTTCTGGGAATATCGATTTGTGTTAATGCTTTTTAGGCTCACTGTATAAATATAAATAAATATTTTTATAGATAAATGTATATATTTATAAACATATATAAATATATAGATTTACCCACATTTACCATGCATCTCCTTTTTAAATAGGACAAACATTCCCCCCCAGTTGAGGTTTGGGTCAGTAATGAAAGTGAAACTGCACTGCTGGATTTTCTCTGTAGGCACAGGGCACCTGTCAGGAAGGGGGTAGCAACCAGAAATCTATCACCAATTGCATTAAGCTGCTCTCAGCTCAGAAGATCAGATCAGCAAATTAATTTCCTTTAGGATTTATGCTAAATAAAGAGAAATGAAGAGGAAAAGGCTTGCCCCTCATCCTTGGTGAGGTGTGTGCCCACAGCCAGTTCTGCAGGTGAAGCATTTCTGTGTTCAGGACAGCTCTACCCTCAAAAGCCCCTAAAGAGGCTTTAATTGCTTATGGCAGAATGGTCCATCTGGAATGGCACTTGTCAGTCTGATTCTCTGCTTGCACATGCCTCACCCTGATGGAGAAAGGGTTCCAGAACTTCAGACACATCCCCTGTGGCTGCTCAGTGTTTGGATTGAGTTGGGGAAAGCTCTTAACTGTGGCACCTACATTCTGCATTGCTGCATCTGATGCCTCTGTTGGTTGTTTCCTTGAACTTCCAAAATAAATTTATTCCATGAACTGGACTCAGCATACAGAAGAGATGGATGGAGCACAATGTTTGCCTGCAGTATTTACTGCCCTCTGCCTTCTAGGGCTGTGATTCCAGTATTCCAGTGATTTGCTGAAGGATTTTGGCCCATATTTTAACACACAGGAATGCAGCATCCCTCATTTTCATGAAGTCTTAAGTGGCAAAGGGAACTTCCAGGCTGTAGGATCAGCCCTGGTCATATGCAAGCAAATTTTTCAGCTAACATCTGGAAAATGTACAGTGGATTTCAGGGAAGGAAGAGGTAATACCTGTATTTGGCTTCTACAGTCAATTAGAAAAATGATAGTCTTGGCACGATGCCGGGGGAGTTTGCCATGGGAAATTGGTGGCACAGGATATTGTAGGACTAAGGAGAAACCCCTTAACACAAAGCTCCTTTTTTGTCACAGCCCTTATTTTGCAGAGACAAATCTCTTGTGTGTACCACTAACCCTGTTAGATTTTAAGCATTGCATTTGCACTGAGTAATGGGGGGATAATGAAATTCTATACAGCACCTGGGTTCAAAGCTCAGGAACATTTGTACCAATGAACTGTTAAAAGTTATTTATAGAAGTCCTTGTAGCAATTACCAAAATACAGCAAGCTCTGGGTAGAGCATTTGAACTACACTGCCAGTGCAGTGTAGCAACTCAATTATTCTGCATCCTTCTTCAAAATGTGCCTTGCATTTCTAAGACTATTCAGGATCTTTGCTGTTATTACTAGTTTTAGGTGAGGAGAATTTGGAGGTGACCATGTGTAACAGGATAAAACTCTCAGAGTAAACAGACTTTCATTCCAAGTGGTGTAAATTTGAAAAAAAAAAAATCTTGGCTTTGCTTCTTTCTGTTGAAATATCTTGACAGCAGTATTATTCATCAGGAAAACAGATTTTGGAACAATTGATTTCTGAGCTATTTTATTATGTTCTACACCTACATTGCTACATTGAGGTCAAGAGTTCTTTGCTGTGTTTAATCCCCTGAGTTCTTTAGATAATATTCTGTTGCTAAAATAGAGTAACTTAATCTGTGTCTGTCTTTCAGCACTAATGGCTTCTGTTGAAACAATTCATGCCTGAGATGTATGGACCTGACCTATGAAAATATGAGAAGATATTGTACAGTATATTTTAAATCTATGAAATTCATAGTTCTGATGCTTTTGGCCACAGAGCATCATTTTATCACTTCCTGGAAAATGTTTATTCCAAGAGAGCTTTAAATGGCCCACGTGTACACTCAACAACCTTCAGATTGTTCTCCTGATACCAGCTTGCTGCTACGATTTCTGTGCACATAAAACAAAGGCTCTTTTTAATGTGCAGCCTACAGTCAGAACTTCATTTGCTATTCTTCAGAATTTAATGTTCTTTTAATGATGGATCATATAAGTTTACTTTTTTTGCTTCTTTTAGATGCATAACTCGGTTAATTTTACATATCACCACTAAACCTTGTTTTACACTTTTTAAACATTACAGTTTATTGTTTTAACAAATTTATTTGTAAAATTTTTATATATATATATACATATAGATATATTTAAAATGTGCCATTTTTATTACTGCTTAGTAAGAGATGTCCTGTTTCTGCTGTAATGATTTCTTGGTCAGGTTGCAATGTCAGCAGTTACTGCCACTCTTCTGTCAACATAGACATTAATGTTAGTGGTTCCTTTCTCTTGACTAAAATGGAGTGTAGGTATTTTGAGGTACTGGGCTTTTCCTTCATGGGGTTGGGGTGTGTACAGCAATAAGCAGGTTTTCAATCCAGTACTTAGTTTGTGTACAAATGTAATTATGTTCATTGTGTATATATTATACAATGAGCACATACGATGTAAGTATAAGAAGCCACTTATTATTGTTCAAATACGAATGTTCATATCCCATTTCTTTTATATCATATTAAATAAATGTTGATGTTCTTAAGGACTTGTATGGTTAGTATTTCTTCCAGCAAACAGATGTCGCACTGTGTTCCACCTTTTGATGTGGGGAATGCAACAATTCCTACCCCATTGGCAACATCACCTGTCAACCAGAGTAGCAGTGACAGACTCTTAAGAGATCCCAGTCTTCCTCTTCGGGAAAGAATTAAGGCTACAACACAGAGCAAAACAGACAACCTGAGAATGAGATGCAAGAAATACAGGTTCAGCTCCTGGCTCTCCCAGACTTGTGTTGTGGTACTGGAATAATCACTTAGTCATTCTGCTCCTCCGTTCCCTGCCTGTTTACACGGGAGGTAATAGCCTGTCTTAGTGGGGTGTGTTGGGCAGTAATTCAATATTTGCAAACGCTGATTGCCAAGTTCACTGGGGTTAAGGAGAGAAGTGTGAGGATTCCTGGAGGCTTTGGCATCTGCATAGCATCTTCCAGAAACTGAAAGAAAACCTGAAATAATCTGTCAAGTGTTGTCACACTACAGATGTTACCAGCTTTGCTGTTCCGTCTCTCACAGCTGCCTGATTTTGCCTGAGACAAAAGAGGGTTAGAAAAGAGTTAAGAGAAACAAAAATATTTCACGGAAAGCTTTTGAATCCTAGGATGTAAAGCTAAAGAATCTTTTGCAGGTTCAGGCAACTGCTGTGTGCTTCAGTGCATGTGTGTGCCATAAGTGGTGAGGCAAGTTTCACAGGAAGGCAGCTGCCAGCTCCTGTTGGTTTTTTTTTTTATCATACAAATCATATCCTGATCAAGTTAATATTACTGTTCTAGAAGCTATATAATTCATTGTGCTTTTCCACAGAGGAGTGCCTGATACTGTCTCACAGTTTGAAATTACTTTACCATTGCCCCTCTCCCCAAGTAGGAGTTTGTGTTTGTTGGATTCTTCTGGCACTCCCAGTTCTGCTGCCTGTTCTTCCTGGTGCTCTTTGCCACAAAGATACAGAGTATGTCGTCTGGCTACCTGTTGTCCTGCCATTTTCTCTGCAGAGTAAAAAAAAATAGGGGTCAGAATTCAGCAGCAGAGCCTGGAGGGGTTACAGTGGAAGAGGTGGCTGAAGGAAAGATGAATGATGATGCAGGCATACAGCATGGAGCTGAAAAGTTGCCACATCGCCCTCTTTTTTTTGGAACAGCAGCTCCAAATTAGTGCATCCTTCCATGCAAAAGACAGAGCAAGGAAAAAGAATATGATTTTATTGCACAACCAACCAAGGCTTAAGTTCAGTGGCATCACTGGAACACCTGAGGCAGAGCAAATAGACACACCCTGTTCTCTCCCTAACCCTTCTAGAGAGATCTGTTTGCTGTCAAGTTTTGCAATCTCTTTCAGCCCTTGCTGCCAAGAAAAGAATTGCAACCAATAAAGGAAAGAATGACTAAGTGATTTTTGGACATTTATAGATGTTGCCTGTGTCTGAAACCATTGTTGGTTTGGTGTATCTGCAAGGAACATGCAGTTTATAATGGAGCTGGGCAAGGGGGGAAGAATGAGCAAGTTTTGCTGAACTGTTGGCAAAGACAGCAAAAGGTGAATGATGCAGGAATATAGTAATGCTCATAGACTATCATTTCTCTTCCTGTGGGCAAAGGCTGCAAAGACTTGGAGTTTCATTGGGTGCTCTATTTTTTTGTCTTACGGAAAAAAAAATAATAAATGTATGGCTTTGTGTTATCACAGAGCATCTGCTGTTTCTTACCTCATCAGAATAACTCATCCCAGTGATCGTACTCCTGAGATATAGAAATATCAGAATACTGATATGGTCAGCCTTCAAACATCTATTTTAAGTTTGTATCTTAGGATATTTTTATATTTCTGACTGATGCTTTATTGGCTATTGCACTGACACTTGTATATATGGAACGTGCTTTTTTTTCAAAAGCAGGAGTCCTTAGGAATAATGCAACACATTCTCTACAGATGTTCATGCTTTTCAGAACCAATTACATCTATTTTTGTCTTTTGTTCACCATTTGCATTGTTCCAAGGCTACTAGAGAATGTGAATCTTCAAAGTCCCTTAATAAAGTGACATTACTGAAAAAGTTACAGTTGGTGTCTTGGCAGTTTTTGTATGTTGTGGACTGGCTCAAAGGGAAAGACCTCACCAGGCAGCTGAAACCCAAGCCTTGTTTATGTTATCACTGATGTGGAAAAAGTAGTCTTCACATTTCCTCAGAAATATGCATCATAAAGGGGGTCCAATAAGGTTCTATTTTCAGGAAATCAGAAAAAAATATTTGCACATTTCAATCTAAATCACATTAATTAGACAGTCTGTGACAGAATTCTTATCCACTCCTTTGGATCCACTGGAGTGCATACATGAAAACATTAATTAATTACTCTGTCAGTAATAGATTTATTAAATTCTCTAAGACTTAGACTAGTGGATTAAGTTGTACCCTGGGTGAGCAAAGCAGTAGAACAGAAGACCTTTAATCAGTGGTGCTGTTGGATAAGTCTTACCTCAAACTTTTCATTATATTTTAAAGATAAGGTGGAGGGGTTTTATTTTTTTCCTTTTCTAATAAACCATAAGTAGTACTCATTCAGATCTCAGAAATGGCTCATCATGTCTTTTCTACACAGTACTATTTTGTCCCCGTGATCCTGGATTGTGCTATAATTATTTTCTGAGGTTATTCTAGGGTAGCTAATCTTATATTAGTTTGAATCCTAAGTTAAAATGTTCTTTTCTGTCCTTTAGAAAGTTGACATTTAAACGGCCGATAAACAAATTGCCCATACCTGGCATTGCTAATATATCTGAAACAACTTAATCTAACTTTTTTAAGGATGCACGTGGAGATAACAAAGCAACATCTGGCCTTCATTTCTTCTAAAGAACATTATATATAGTTGCTGGTATATCCTAAGAGCTGTTTGGCTTGTCCATATGGGAACACTGAAGAAACTGCTACAAAATAAAACAGAATATACTGGTGGCTGCAAACAAATGCCTGACCCAAAATGAAGGTTTAAAGCAGCTGCTTTCTGAGCTTGACAAGCACAGCTTCTTACCCAGCTGTTCCAGATGTGTCAGCACTCAAATGTTACTTGTGGAATGAAGATTCTGGGGGGTTTTTTTTTGTGGTGTTCCTTCATTTTGTGGTATGCCAAAGAAAATGTTTTTAAGGTCTGTCTAAATATTATCTGGCTGCTGTGGTGAAGCTGCAAGCAACTCTTAATTGCAGCTCTGGGTAAGTGACATCAGCATCGGGGTTGCTAATTGCCTCATGTGGCAGTCTGGCTAGGGATGTGTTGAGGAACGCTTATTTAGGCTGGAATAGGTTCTGTTTGGGATAAAAGTAAAACTATAGGCAAACAGTGCTGCTTTCAGTGGGCTGCTGTAGAGTATATCTGGACAAAACCAGATGTGGGATCATTAACTTCTTTATTACTGAAAATAAGGAATTTTTTTTTTTTTCTTTTTGTCAAATACTATCCAGATCCCTGTTCTGTGGAACGGGAATACTTCAAAGTATTTCAGACTAAAAATGGAAACACCCTCTTGCTCTTCTGAAGGTGAAATGAGTACTGTTTAAAAAAAGAAAGAAAGAAAAAAAAAAGCAGACTCTGCATGTTTAACTGTATATGTAGAACAAGGAAGATTTACTTACAGCCTCGAGGTTTGCTCAATGAAAACTTTCAGGAAGGTGCCTCATCCTCATCTGTTGTTATCTGGTCTGTGTCACAGTGAAGTGACTGGTGCTGTACTGGACTCCCTTCTGCATCTTTAAATCCATTACAACGTGTAAAATATTCTGCGTTCCTTATGTGGAGGAAAACTGCCTTATCCACACCCCAGCTGTCTGTCTCTACATGAGCAGCTGAACCCAGGCAATCAGTTTCTTGTTTGGAGAGGTGAAAATCTGCAGGTGCTTATTGTCCTGAAAGATTCAGTCAAAAGCATGTAATGAGCGATGTCCAAGATTCCCAAGTAACTTGCATGTAAATCTTTATTTTCAGCAATGGGTTCTATTTAGAAATAAACTTTTTTCTAAGTAATAGTCACCTTACTAGAAATAAAATAATTAGTAGGTATATAAACAAATAGCTAAGAATTTATTTGAGAAATTTGTCATTAATTGACAGTACATTTCAAAGCAATTGAGTGGAGAAAAAAGACTGCAAAAATTCAGCAACTCAGCTCATAAATCACCTCTTTACAATGTGAATTTCTGGTGAGTCTTGACACTGATTACACATGTAAGTTGAGTGCTTCATACTGTGCAACTTTCTTCTTGGTAAATTCCCAAGTCAGCAAGAACATGTTTCAGATGTTTTAGCTTTAAACACAAATGATTTTTTTTTTTCTTTTTCTTTTTTTAGTATGCTCATCCACCAGTCTAGGAAACAGCTGTTAATGGCTCTTGGGTTTACTGTCTATACACTGAAATGGTCATATCTAGACAGAGGGGACAAAAGACAGCTGAACTTTCTGATGAATGTTACCTGATGCTATTTTGTGTTTGGTTTTTGGCTACCTGGAGAAAGTCTCAGAGAGTTTTCTCGTGCAAGGGCTGGTACTGCAAGGAAGCCAGTTTGTAGGAGTCAGGTCTAGCTAGAGGTGTCATTTTGTGAGCGGGGAAATTGCCTGGAAACCAAAATCACCTTTGAATAACATTCCTGGCTGTTTTCTTAGCCTGTGCCAACAGACCCATAATTTTTTGTAACTACTGCTTCTAGTATATTGTGCCTACAAATAAAAAATATCTTTAATAAAGACAAAGTGCCTGGATAATGTGTGAAATCCTGACCACTACTTACAAGGTAGCAGCTACAAATTAACCAACCAGCCTCAGCCATTTAGGAGATTGCCTTAGTGAAGAGGAATTGGTTAATATTAATGGATTACAACCTGGGAAAACCACACTTGCTTATATAAGCTGATTTGGAGGTATAACTACTCTGACCTCACAACTTTTTATTGTAAAACTTTTATTTCATGATCTTAAAGCTATTGCATTTTGTGTGATCAGCTAAATATAACCTAGCTAAGCTCCACTTCATTTCCATCATCCAGATTTTAGGCCAAGGGAGAACAGAGGTCATGACATTTTGATCACTTTTGCCTCATTAAAACCTCGTGGACCCCAAGGAGCACAGCTGGATCATGTTTGTAAAAAGCGGGACTCTAAAGCCTTGCTTTGAGCCGTGCCTATTTCACAGGGGTGCTTCCCATCCATCCTCCCCAGGCTGGAGCACTGCGGTTATTTCACCTGCAGACAGAAGCCCTGACTTTCACAACATTTTCAAGCGATTAATCAGAGGAGGTATGTGAACTCTAAGATCTCTACAGCTGATGGCTCCTGCCCTGGGCAGATAAGTTGTGTTAGGAGGGGAAGCGGGAGATGAAGGCCATGGGTGTTGTCAGTCCAAGTTCAAGAGCTCACCCAGAAGGAGAACAAAGTTAGCCCGGCTGCAGCTGCTGCCGCTGCATTCCCACTGCAGCTTCCCTCCTTTCCCCCTGTGCCTGGCCCTTTGTGCTCTCGGCGTGGTTGCCTTTGTATGGGAGTTTTAGGGGATGAAAGGCGGCGGTCGCTGATGGGTGACATGATAGTGCTTTAAATGGGAATGCAGATTGCGCCCAGAACCGCGCGGTGGAGCGCGGCGGACAAAGCACAATAGGCTTAGGGTGATGGCCATGGCCAGAAGTGACTGACAAAAGGAACAAATACCGAGTTAATTTAAAAAAAAAAATGTCCAGGAGTGTCTGGGCATTTCTCAGCCCCCGTGCTCTAGGAAACTCTGAACACACCCCAGATGTGGCGGGCTGCAGCTGACCTGTCATCTCAGGAATATTTAGTATCCCTGTCCCTTCTTTCCCTTCCTTCTGGGAATCTGGGTGCTGAGCACGCGCAGGAAATCGGGGATTACAAACTTGCCTGAACTTTTCACTGCCAGGCATTAACATGCGGATGCAGCAGCCTGTATGTAAATGATGTTATCTGAGCTGTTTTATGCATGTGTTTCCAGGATAAGAAAGGAGATTATTTCATTGTGTGAACTAATTACCTGTGAAGAAAAAATTTAGAGCCTTTTTAATGTTAATGCCGGGCTGTATTTTTATTAACCTTCCTACTCAATGATGCAGTGTTGTGTGTTTATTGTGTATTTTCAAATGTTAAGGACTTGATCCTTTAACCTAAATGAATGAAGTTCTTGATAGGACTTTGCATAAACAGGTTTCTTTGCAAGGTTGCAGCCACATCTCAGAGCCTTCCTTTGCCCATAGAATGGGGTTGCTTCACCAAATGGAAAGACAAAGTGACTTTTAAGTATCGTGATGCTGCTGATTAATGGTGCACAGCAACAATTAAAGATAAAAAGGGGACAATGGTATTACACTGGAACTGCAAGACAAATTACTGCAAAACAGAGAAAATATGTTCTTGGCCTAACCAGCAGTTGCATATAACCAGGGCAACAGAATTAGTGTTGATGCAGCAGATCTGAGCCCAGATGGGAACGGCCTTTTTGGTTTCAGGTGAATAGAGTGCATGATTTAAAGTTAAACACGCTCACACTGCAACCATTATGATACAGGAGAGAATTTGTGTGAGAATCTGATCTCTTGTGGTTCCAACATCTCAAATGAAGTTCTGCATGTTGCTTATTAACAGTATAATTAGATAAGGGAGGAAGGGAGTAACTTTCAAATGCTTCATGTTTCAATATTTATACGGCTTTTAAACCAGCATTTATTTTGTCATACTTTGTTAAGCATGATGTAAACTGAGCTGTTGAGGTTTTACTGTAGAACATCAGCTGATGAGAATATGCTGCATGTAATGGAAAAGAATATGCATGCAGTGTTGCAAAAGGAGTTACCACAGTGCAGTGCAGGTGGTGGACTGAGATCACTTACTGCAATATAAGAAAGTCCCAAAATCTGACTGTATTAATATCCAGAAGGCCTCCAAAATATGTACTGTTATAAAAAATCTGAAATACAACTGGTTCATGGACATTGGTCCAGCACTTAATTTATGTTTTACTGAGGATGGTGAGGAGAATGTTTGGGGTTTTTTTTTCTGTAAAGC